GACATGGGTGTATACTTACATACATGCAGGCATAACAATCATATACATAAAAAATGATAATTTAAAAAATGAATCAAAATATTTTTAATAACATAAGGGAGTTAAAATAGTAACTAGGGGGAGCTCTAAGACAGTTGCTTTTCTTTCTTTTGCCTTAAAAAAGTTAATGTAGGGGCTGGAGAGATGGCTCAGTGGTTAAGAGCACTGACTGCTTTTACAGAGGACCCGGGTTCGATTCCCAGCACCCACATGGCAGCTTCGAACCATCCTCAACTCCAGTTCCAGTGGAATCCGAAGCCCTCTTCTGACTTCTGTGGCACTGGACGACACGGGTGCACTCACATACATGCAGGCAATATACTCATGCACATAAAATAAAAATAATAAAATATTTTTAAAAAATTAATGTAGAACAGCTTGAGAGATTGGGAACTTACAGCCTGGTGGGAAAGTCATGTATCAGGACTGAAAATTAGGGAATTTTTTTCAGACTCAGGACTTAAAAACAAAACAAAACAAAACAAACACCTTCCTTTGCACAGAGTCATCAGAGGCTAGAGGTAATTTGACTTTGCAAGTTGGAAAAAGAGAGCTATGCAAACAGCTGGGTAGGAAGAAGTCAGTGGGAATGGAGGACGACCAGCAACTCCTGTTGTGTTGGGTGTCTTGGAAATTCCTAGGGAATGCAGGGTATTTTGATGAAGATGAAATCAGCACAAATATAACCTGGGTGCAACTAGGTCCTTGGGATGGTGAAGTGGGGAGGGAGGCAGTGCCAAAGGCTGGCATGGCCCTTTGCCAACTTCCAGGCAACCCAGGTCCAGATGTAGAATGCCAAAGACTCCATCTGAAAACACGCAAGTTAAAAAGCGCTCAGTAATAAAAACTCACTGTTGCAGGCAGAGTCCCCCAAAACGTCTACTTTCAAAATGGCCAAGATTCTGGCAGCTTTTTCTTCTTAAATATGTGTTTCTGAATAAGGCCAAACAGACGCTCTTGTTAGTCTTCTCAATACTTGTCTTGGAACTGGAGTCTTTCGCAGCTCTGGACCTTGCTTATGAGTACATTCCAATCACATTGGCCTTAGGCAAGAAATAAATCAATGCCTGAATTTTCCAGAGATGGATTTCAGCCAAGCCAGACCTGGCCCTAGAGCACCGCGTAACTGAAGATGGAGCTGTACTGATGTCTGAGACTGAACTGGAAAATGCAACTTATTAAAAAAACCGTATGTGTAGACACACCGGAGTAACCTCAGTAGTAAAGGGTAATTACTTGTAAATAATACCCTAAGAAAGCCTTTTTGTAAAGAGTCACTCATGTAAAACTTCTGGGTAAAAAGTTGGTCAGCCTCCTGTGACATTTATTTGGGGGTAAGCTGATGCTTCTGAGGCAGAAGCATTCTAGGCTCCAAATCTCCACTCGCCGGCCTGGCCTCTCCCATGCCTGACTGTACTTAGTACTTTGCAGAGATTTCAGAGAATAAATTGGGAAAATAAACATTAAAGCATGAAACTTGTTATTAAGAGAAAGAATTCAGGCTAATGGGGCAGACAGAGACACCCTGGGCTGTCTAAGTATTGTTAGAGGAAGCTTGCAAAATGCTGAGGCGTGAACACAGGGCGAACGAGGGATCAAGTTACAGGGAATGAAAAGTTCCAAAGAGCGAACACCCGGACAGCCAGGACCCTTCCATGGGGCTGCTTATATGTCAGAGAACAAGAGAAGGGCCTTAACTGGAAAACAGCAAGAGGTAGCTTGGCTCAATACCTGTTAAGGCCAGAGATGACAAGTAATATAGTAAGAGTGAAAAATTCCAGGTTGTATCCTTATGTGTGCCTCAGCTACAGAGTCACCAAGGTCTCTCAGGACCAGTGTTCATTCCATCTTAGTGAAGCTTAAACTTCAAATGCCTTGATCTTCAACTCTGGCAGGCTTACGGCAGGTCTCTGTGGACAGATCACAGAACAGGACCTCAGGGCACCTGGCCAGTCATCTCGGTGCGCTGCACTCTTCCCTCTGAAGGCGGGACCCCAGTGTCCGACTCACTGTCCATTAGGCTTCCACTTCTTTGGGCCTGACCGCCTCTCAGCATCTTCCAGAGAGGACCATGGTTTGAACGTGTGAACCTTGGGGACGTGCCAGGTCATCTCCAAAGTGTAGACATGCAATGCAGTTTATGTATGAACACCAACTACAGCTACTAAAATGACATTTGAGACATTCAACACAAACCTCACCTTCACAGACTGGGACAACAGAGGGCGTGCAAGACTTTAAGCCTAATCTGTAAGAAACAGTCAGTAGATGTCACTGTAACTCCAAGTTAGTAAACCAAACCAAGGCATTTGTATGAGCAGGTTGTTTTGTTTGTTTTCTCCCCCTAGCTTCAGATGGCCTGGGGCTGCTATGTAGACCAGGCTGACCTGGATCTCCCAGAGATCTGCCTGTCTCAGTGCTCCCCTCCCCCAACCCCGAGTGCTGGCATTAAAGGCATGCACCACCACATCCCACCCAGAGCACATTATTTCTAACAACCCAGAAGTGACTGTCAGAAAAACTCACAAAGTAAACTGGTTAAATATTATTAACTTTGAAGAACAGAAGTGAAATTGGGGCATTATGATTATTTCTCATTTCAAATCATCTCATATCATTTAACTTTATTAACCTTGTGCAAATTTCAGTACGTGAAAACATTTCTATATTGGATGTACAAAATTAACATTTAGTGTTCTTATTGATAGGCCTTAACACAAATGACTGAATGCATGAAATCCAGTAGGGGTGGGGCCATGGGCAGGTGCCAATGGTTGACGGGGTGTAAAGATGATCAAGTTGTTTTGGATGAAATACACAAAAAATCAATTAAAAGTTTACAATAGAATAAAAAAGAAATTCTCAAAGAATTGATAAAACTTTTTTAAACATAAAAAATAATAAATATAATTTTTAAAATTTCAAAGGAATTGTGTTTCAATGACAAAGAAATGCCCTTGATCATCTGACTTAAGTTTAAATAGTGTGTTTTGGGTCTAGGTATTGAAAGTCTAATATTACAAACATAAGTCAACATCATTTGAAAAAAAAGAAAATGCTAATTAGTTCTGTGACTTATAATGGTTGTTGATTATCCACACAATGTTGAAATGCACAGATGAAGATTTACCAATGTGAAGAGAACACTTGAAATAAAGTGACGCAGAGATATTACAAATTACAGAAGCAGCTGATTTAGAACACATTAGACATCAGACTGATATCTTTTTTTTTTTTTTAAGGGGATTTTAGACTTAGAACTAGGTTTAATCCAGGCTGCACTTCTCCAAAGCTGAGCAACTTATTTAACTTCCCTTCCCTGCAGCATCTTTTACTAAATGGGGTTCTGATGTCAGGAGTGTGTGAAGAGTATCTTGGTGTGTCATCGATTTTGGATTCTCTATGCTGGCTTTGAAAATCCCCCTGGTAAGTATCTATTCTCCTCTGCATCTGAGGTACTCTGTGGGCTCATTCATACAGATACCCTCTGTCTTACTTCCCTAGTCCAAACTTTCCTTCCACCTGGTCCTGTCTGGATTGTACTGGATGTACAGAAAAGTGGACTGGAAGCCTCTGTCACTCAATAGGATGCCACACTTCATGCTTCTCTGTCTTATCTCTATTTGCGAGAGGGATCAGATGGTCTTTGAACTGATGACAGGGGAAGAAAAGCACAGGAGTCAAGGGCTGAAGATTAGGGAGAGGACTGCTGAACTCCCTAAATCCAGTCGGAAGGTATTGAGATAGGAAGAGGAAGTCTCTGGACTGAAGGCTACCTGGCAGGCGGCTCCAGTGGCCACCTCCTGTCCAGGAATTACTAGCTTAGCTGATGAGTGGCAGGTGGACGTTAAAGACACCACATCCAGCTTAACCACCACTCAATCTGTCACCTCCTTTCCAGGTGTAACAATCAAATTTACTGTTCATTTCCAAAAGTTTAAGTTCCAACTATATTTAAGGAACATACTGTATGTCTAAATACAGAATTTTCTTTATACATTGAAATATGGGCAGTATTTAATACAATTTTTAAAAATATTTTATTTATGCCAGGTATGGTGACACATGCCTTTAATCCCAGCACTCGGGAGGCAGAGGCAGGCGGATCTCTGTGAGTTCAAGGCCAGCCTGGTCTACATAGTGAGTTCCAGGACAGTTCGGGCTATAGGGAGACCCTGTCCTATGTGTATGCGTGTATTGCCTGCATGTAGGTAAGTGCACCCATGTCATGCAATGCCCGTGGAGGACAGAAGAGGCTATTGGATCCCCTGGAACTAGAGTTACGGACAGTTGTTAGCTGCCACGTGGGTGATGGAATTCGAACAACCAGTGTTCTTAAGTGCTGAGCCATCTCTCCAGTCCCTGTTTAATACAAGTTTGATTCATTGAATTCATAAGACAAACTAGCATGTTGACATTAATTACCATACAACCATTGGCACTTACAATGTCACGCAAAGAACATGTGCAAACACTTAGAGTGGGAACTAATAATTGGAAATAACAATCTTCCAGGATCACCTTATCACGGATCTTTTCTGTAGCAATTATTGCATTTCAAACAGAAAGGGGAATTAAAATGAAGACACTCTCTCTTCCCATCTTGACTCTAAAACATAATCTTTAAGGAGATATCTGAAAGACTTCAAAACGTGTCTGGATTTTTAAATAATATTCTTGTATTCTAGACACCAGTGCAACCAAGGCTAGAAATTACATAGCATCCTTAGACAAGAGACAATCATTGCCCTAGGAACACAGCAGATCTATCTATGGGTCCAAGGGAAAATGAAGCAGAAAAATAAAAATAATAAAAGGAGTTTGTAAATAATCGTAAGGTTTTAAAGTCAGTTTGTCACCTTCTATGTTTAGTGATACTTAGTTGAGATACTTTATAAAATGCATAGAATCAAAAACAAAGCAGATATTGTTTGAAAAGGGAAAGAAATTACCCATCGAAGGCCCTTTGATTAAAATTTTATTGTTTTGGAAGATTTTCCACATACTGGAAAACATGGCTTCCGTGTTTTGTTCCCTGTCCTTTTTTTAAAGTCGTGTCTCCTTGCCTGGCCAGTACTTGGGCTGCAGCAAATGATCTCTTGGAGTACAATTTTCCCTCTGGAATCTTGTGGCCACCGTTGTTCTTTCTCTCTTTGTTATGAAGCGCCTCTGCTTTGGAACATGTTTATTCTTTAAGATGAGAAGGACTGCTAGGCTTGGAAAGATGGACACTGTCCCCAGGATCGTGGTTAGTCCCAGGTATATGTGTCTAGAAAGCAGAGAGTTACAATGACTGCAGATGCCCAGCTTGAAATAAAGTATGACTTACAAAAATATAATGATGCTTCTCTTGAAATCTACGAATTCACAGAAGGATGTGGCTGGGAACACTAGTAGCCCATTGAGTGTAGTTTGCTGATAGAAAGTGATTTCTTAGTAATGCTGTGATTTACATAATCAGCCCCATTTCCTCTGTGAATGAGTCCCTGAGGCAGGGTGACCATCTCCCTGTTTGTTCAGGGCAGTCCCCGGCTAGGCTGGTTGGTACTGTCCCAGTATGATTTTAATAGTTCCCCTTTCATTTTCAAAAGAGTCCAGGATAGAATAAGTTAGGCATTAACCCTGTCCACAAATATTTCCCTAATGCATTTGAAGGAATAACTGCATTTGAAGCAATTCAAAGCTGCAATCAGAATTCTTAGTAGAGGACTGATAATAAGCCAGATTTTCAGTTCACTTTCTTCCATGAGAATCTCTCAGGCCTATAATTTGTCAGTAGATACTGGTGCACTGAAGGACAGGCTCAAGGTCACATTCCCTTCACTTGTCTCTGAATTACATCGTTTCCACATTGCTGTGAATGTAGCTTTAGGCAAATGAGAGGCAAGCCTGGATTATACTCACAGATCAGATTCCATTCACAGACCAAAAAACCCTTCACACATAACATCAAAGCCCATTAAATCTATCTCATTTGAGATGGTCTGCCTAACGCACTTCCCACTTAGAACCTTGAGTTTTAATTTTGTTTCTCTAAAAAAGATGGCTCAGCTTGTAAGTCATTGAAAAAGAAAGAAAGAAAGAAAGAAAGAAAGAAAGAAAGAAAGAAAGAAAGAAAGAAAAAGCTCCCTGCTTTTAAGTCATTGAAGTAGGGAGACTAAAGGTTTGATGAACGGAACTGAGTGATACCATAGTGAGAAAACCAGGCTCTCCACCGGGGACACACTCACCCACACAGAAGAAACCTTTCACTTTTATGCGTTTCAAGTACTGGAATAATTGAACATCAGCTTGGCAATAAGAGCCGGACGGATTGAAGGCCAAATCCAACTCCTGCTCAGTGACTGGAGCTGACGTAAATGGTACAGTTTGGCTCAGTTTGAAAAAGAAAAGAATTAAACCCAGAATGTGACCTAAATTTAAATGCTTCTGAGTTTCAAGGGATTACTTGCCCAGTGTGCATGAACTTTCAAAATGCTATTACATCCTAGACTCTTTCACTATTTTTTTTTGTGTGTGTGTGTGTATGTATGTGTGAGATGAGACAGGATTGCTCACTTTATAGCCCAGGCCTGTCTAGAACTTACAATGTAGCTCAGGCTGGCCTTGAACTTCTAGTTCAGCCCCAGAGTTCTGGTATTACAGGTATGAGTCTTCTCACCTGACTCGTTTTTGGTAAATTCTTTTAAAAAGGGTTACTTAGGAGAGGGATACATTAGGACAAAATACAATATAATGACATATATGCCTGAAAATGCCATAATGAAAGGCATTAATGACATCCATTGCTTTGTATGCTGACTTACAAAATAATAACTCATTTAAAATGAGAGTTGGGAGGGATGGGGAAATATATAACCTATCAAATAAACAATAGAATTAGTCTATAAAACAGCTCACAGTTTTCTGTCAATTTTCCTTATAGGCAGGGAAACTACATGAGAGTTGCTGTATCGAGCACCGTATTAAATGGGGATACGGCTGCACTGAGATGCACAGTGCATCTCAGATGCATCTGACTGGGTACCTGAAAGCCTGTGAGTCATACAGTCTGCAGGAGCCTCTACTTCCACATCTTTTAAATCCCCATTTGAGGCACGAAGTGTCAATCAAAACACCAAAATACACTGGAGCCGGGATTCCCGCTGTAAGAAACACAAATAATTGCTTCTAAAATATGCACGTATTTTTGGTCATGAATAATGATCTAGAACCATTCATCTGGAGCCCAATGGTCAACATCTGGGAGAGGAAAGAAAGGCACTGCTACTTACTACACCCCCAAACCTTTCTCCACGGCTCAGTGTTTGGTCATAAGCTCTGGACTCATACAGTAACTGCCATTAGGTTATGCTAGAAGTGTGTCTCTCTGACACATTACCTCAATGCATACAACTTCTTTCCCAGAGTGATGCTTTCTCACCAAGTTGCTCTGGCTATAAGGTTGGGAGTTATTTCTGACCGTCTCTCTCACATCTAATGCACCCTGAAAGCACAGTCTACCTCTCAGGTGTATCTAAATATATTCTTGTCTCTCTATTCTTTCTGCCACGTCTTCTCGAATTGAAAGCCTGATTATGAACATAACACAGTGGTAGGAAATTTGCCCAGCAGTCATTAGAGCCCTGGGAGCAATTCCCAGTACCCCCAAAACTCCCACCAAAAAAGTAATGGCCAATTCTGCCACTTTCCTTAGTCCTCTCTAATCTATTGACTATGCAAATAGTGGATCATTCAATTACATAGATAATTGCCCACGCTAGTTATTCCAAGACTGGACGCTCTACATTTCTGGCCTCATTTGAGGCCATTCTTTTCTTATATTTCAGATGCCAGCTTTCCTGGATTTCTTTCAGTGTTTAAAATGCTCTTGCCAAATGCCTTGCGTCTCCCTTCTCTGAGTCAATTTACTGCTCTGTCCTTTGCCTTCTAATGCACACTTACCCTTTGTATCTCACTTTAAATGATTTCCTTCAGGAAGGGCTACTCCGATGACCTAAACTACATTAATTCTTTTGGTTCCCCATCGTATGCACTTGCATTTCTTTCCCAAACCCTTGATGCCTTGAACGGCTTCTTTAACCGCCTTCCTGCCAGACTTGACGCTATTCAGGTGCAGGAAGCTTTTTTTCTTATTCATGCTACTAAAGCCCATCATTTCTCAATAAATGTTTATTGAGACTATAATCCTTCCTATGGAGAAAAGATCAACTCTCATATACAAGTTTTAGCAGAAGTATTCTGGGAGGATTGCAATGTGTTCGCTGGTTAATGTCTATTTTACGTGTTTCAAGTCGCTGGTCCATTAACATCTGGTCTACATAGTTTGGTTTGACTTTTTTATTTGTTTGTTTGTTTGATTGTTTTTTTATGAGTAGCTAACATTTTTAAAGCCAAGAAATTTCATGTAAAATGGCAGATGTCTGAATTCTCACAATGCTGTATTATCCAGAAGACATGCTGTATTATCCAGAAGACGGTCAGGCCTTGAAGACCAGCTGCTCCCTCACCCTCTCCCCCGGGCCCATGCATGGACTTCATGGCTCCACTCCCTCCTTCACCCCCTTCCATCACCTGGCATTTTGTCAATGGGGTTTGTAATCCCCTCTATTTATGAATGGTTTCTTCTGCCGCAGAATTGCTCCGTATGCTGTATTGGGTACTTTGCTTATGACTATGACCAAACAGCTGAAGAAGCAACTTAAGGCAGGAAGGATTTATTTTGGCTCATGGTTCAGGGTATGAGAGCTCACAGCAGTGGGGAAGGCACAGTAGAGGACTTGCCCATGCAGCAGGGGTATGTGGAAACTGCCTGTCTACCTAAGTTTAAAAAAATTATATTTATTATTTTTATTTTACATGTATGAGTATATTACCTGCATGTCTGAAAGGGTACCCATGTAGTGCAATGCCCACAGAAGTCAAAAGAGGGCATCGGATCCCCTAGAACTGGCATTACAGATGGTTGTTAGCTGCCATGTGGGTGCTGGGAACCAGACCCAGGTCCTCTGCAAGAGCAGCCAGTGCTCTTAACTGCTGACCATCTCTCCAGCCCCGGTCTGCTTATAAATATTCAGGTAATAGCTGACTCAATTCAGAACCACCCATAGTCACTTCAACTTCAGGCAAAAGATATGAAGGAAATGATATAACCATATAATCTTAAAGTGGTATATCACAAACTGCTTATTAATGGCAAAAAATGTTTATAATGGAGACAACTTGCAGCCAACCACTGTTTTCGCTATGAAGCAAAGTTCACATTTCCAGTGATGGTCTAAACGCAAGTCATAGTCTTCCTGATGGGATGTGTTAAGTGATGCATAATGCCATCTGTGCAGCGGTCTCACCTGAAATATTTTACTGACTTTGTGAAAAGTAAACAGTCATGGAAATGCAAAAAGAATAGCCCATAAGAGGGGCTGGAGAGATGGCTCAGCAGTTAAGAACAGTGACTGTTCTTGCAGAAGACCGGGTTCGAATCCCAGCACCCATATGGCAGCTAACAACTGTCCATAACTCCAGTTCCAGGGGATCCAACAGTCCCTTCTGTCCTCCATGGGCATTGCATGACACGGGTGCACTTACCTGCATGCAGGCAATGCATGTATGCACACAAAATAAAAATAATAAATAAAATATATATAAAAAAGAATAGTCTACAAGAATACCAGACTTGCCTATTGGCAGAAAAAGGGAAGGATTGCTAGAGACAAGAAAGTTAACTGAATGCAATATGTAGCTCTTCATTTACTCAAGATTGGAAAGGGAAAAGGGTACAGTCAGCATTATTATTACAGTGAAGAAATCTAATGTGCAATATATAACAGACACAATATTGTATCAGTGTTAAATGTCTTGTGTGACAACAGCATTGTGGTTATTCAAAACAAATAATTTGCTTGTGTAGAATGATAGAACCTGAGGTTTTTAAGCAGCAAAGTACCAGGATGATCACTGCTCATTTTTAAATGGCTCATCAATAAATACACAGATACACGTGCACATACACAAACATTATATATAATATATATAATATGCACACATTATATATGTTAAATTATATATATAAAATGTATGCTGAGAGAAAGAGGAGACAGAAATTTTATCATTTTAATTATACCTACCAAGAACTCTTACCGCTAAGGTATAGATACCCAAGGCGAAAGACTTAAGTTGTGGCTGAATGCACCTGAAATAAAAACAAAAAAGCACTAATTAAAAATAATATCTGGAGAGATGGCTCAGCGGTTAAGAACACTGACTGCTCTTGCAGAAGACCCAGGTTCAAATCCCAGCACCCACATGGCAGCTAACAACTGTCCGTAACTCCAGTTCCAGGGGATCTGACAGCCTCTTCTGTCCTCTGCAGGCATTGCACAACATGGGTGCACTTACCTATATGCAGGCAATACATGCATACACATAAAATAAAAATGATAAATAAAATATTAAAAAAATATCTATAAGGCTTTGGAGATGGCTTAGTAGTAAAATGCCTGCCACAAAAATATGAGGATTAGAGTTCAAATGCCCAGAACCCATGTGAATGCCAGGTAGGCATGGCAAGCCCCTACAATTCCAGCCTCAGAAGGTAGAGACAGGGGATCCCCTGAGCAAGCTGGCTTGCAAGACCAGCCTTATAGGTAAGCTCTGGATTTAATTGAGAGACCCTGCCTCAATGAATAAGGTAGAAAAGCTTTGGAAGAAAATTTAAGGATAATTTCCAACATCAAACAGCAATCTGCAGTTGAGAAAATGCCCCACAGTAAGGGCCAAGAGCCAATCTGATTGAGGAAATTCCTCAAGTGAGGTTCCTCTTCCCAAGTGACTCTGGTTTGTGTCGACTTGACAGAATGACAGAAAACTAACCAACAGAGGGTCCTTCTGAGATCACGGTTCACCATGGTTTCTTAAGAGGTTTGCACTAAGATGCTTTGTAGTAAGGACCCTGATTGTTTACTTGGCCCAAGTAACTACCTTGTCTGTCTACTGGGTACAGTAAAAGATGTTGAAAATGTAGCTGCAATAATTTGGGAAGTTCAGGGCAAAGGGGGTCTATTTTCTCAAATCCATGAGCCCATTTGCACATACAATTATCTCTTGTTCTTCTTAAACCATTTTAAGAATATCAAATTTGTAGATGGTAATTTATATTTTATGTTTCTATTTACTAATGAATTTCCAGTGTAGAAACTGTGGGAAATGTGTACAATGATTTTAGTTAACTTCATTCTAGGAAAGCTTAGTATTCAACCTTACCTAGGAGAATTAATCTGAATATCACACAATTCACATCCTGAGAGAGTGATTTCTAGTAAATGCTAACATTTTCTGTATAGTAATCATAGCAAATTAATAATATTTTAGGTTGTTTGAATAATATTTGTACAAAAGAATTGCAAAGCTGATTCAACTATGAAAATATCACCAAAAGTCCAATGCATAAAATTAATATTTAAAAATTAGATTCATGTCTATTTGATAAAAAAGTGTAAAAGTGAATAAAAAATGTTTACGTGAAAAGGGGCTTTTTTGCAATAGAAGAAAATTCTACAAGGAGGGTGAATGAAGACAGGAGTCCAAAAGGAAGAAGGGGCAATGAACTGTTTTCACTGAAAGATCTTTGCAAGGGCTGGAGCTTTGGTGCAGTGCATAGCATGTTAATTATCTAAGCGCACTCCCTCAGGTCCCACAACCTATGAAAGAGAGAGTGATATAAATTTAAATTGTTATATTTTAAATAAAAATGTGTGAAATATGCCACAAATTAAAGCATAGCTTCTATTTAAAGTATTCTTAATTTTTTATGTCGAGTTAAAAATATGCAAAGAATTATATCTTTTAGGTTCTTATATGAAAAAAAATGTTTTAAGCCACTGACAATATTCATAGAGTAGGATCCTCAATTGATTAGAAAACCATAGTATCAGGGCTGGAGAGATGGTTCAGAGGTTAAGAGAACTGCCTGCTCTTGCAGAGGACTCAGGTTCAGTCTCCAGCACCCACATCACAGCTCACAAAATGTCTGAAATTCCAGTTTCAGGAGATCTGATGCCCTCTTCTGGCCTCTGTGGCCATTGCATGCATGTTGTTCATTTACATATAGGCAAAACACTCATATACATAAAGTTAAAATAAATAAAATTTTAAAATCCATGATATCAACCATAGACAATTCCAGGCATAACAAGAATATGTAGAAATAGTAAACTATAATCAAACCTATTGATTCAAGGGAAGCTGTGACCCAGGGTAGGAACTGGATCTGACCCAGGATCTAGGCTGTTCTCAACCTCAGTCAGAAAAGCTTCTTTTTATGTGAAAAATAGTCAGTGGAGACATGCATAACTAGTCAAAGTCCTAGAACAACAGACTAAATACTCCAGCCTAAATGAGACATCTTTATTGACCCACATCCCCCCAAACTCAGGGAAAACCACAGAAGAGGAGGCAGAGAGAGTGTAAGAGCCAGAGGACGGGGAAGCGCTGTTAAATGCTGCCTTCCAGACATGACATGACCACTGCACTTATGAATTCACACTAGCTGTAGTTACCTGCACAAGACTTGCTCAAGATCAACCCAGCCAATATTTGGGCCCAGAAGAGAAAGGTGCTCTCTGAGCCCCACCCCTCACGGAGGAGCTAATGGCAGGTGATAGCTGATGAGGGAGGGAGAGTCATTATTTTTGAGGCTGTAGACACTAGTAGGTTTCCCATGCTCCAGTGTGTAGTCCTACACACACACAGCACTAACTGGACTTAGTAGATTATCAAAATAAACAAGTAAATATGAAGTTTGCAGGGAGTATGTGTCAGGGGATATGGGGGCAGTTGGAGAGAGGAAATGGGGATGGATATGATCATATTTCATTGTATATATATATATATATGAAATTATCAAGAATAAAGAAAAACTATTAATAGGAATGAAATAGTATAAAAGGGTAAGTTGGAAACACTGTGGTATTAGACACATCTTCAAAATATCTTACAAATTGGTTAACCATACACGTGATAGGACTATATTTAACCTAAAACATAATTTATGTAAGTTAATACTTTCACTGACATCAAAAGCAGCAATGATATGGGTCCTAAATGACTTCTGAAACATTTGATCTGTGTAAACTCTATCCGGCTCCATTTTTATCAAAAGACCTAAAGTGGAAGTCAAGTGAGTGAAAATAAGGGCTGGACCACTTTGCCAGAGAAAAGAGTTTATATTACAGCTGATATTAAAATTGAGGTAAGGAGAACAAACTCACCTGAGAAGCAGTATGTACCCAGGAATGCCACCTAGAGATAAAGTGTAAGATGTGATGACTGAGATCACAAGGAAATACAGAAACATTTGGGGGCATCCATTATCTTTGTGACATCTGCCCATCATGCCTGACCAGTTCCCTGATTTAGAGGCTGCAATTCCCACACAAGTGCAATTATAAAATATCTGTAACACAAGAGAGAAAAGTCCAATTATTGATGTAATATTTAATTAAAATGAAACGTAAACATTTACTTAAAGGACTTCATAGTATAATATATGTGCATTATATGAACAATAGGGAACTATTCTTTTTTCTGTATTAAGAAATATTAAGGTAAAAATCTATAGATATATTGTGACCCGGAGGATGTTCCTCTGACCCTGTGATGACAAGCCACGGACCTGCCTCTTTCCCTTGCTCTGCAAAGAAGCCACTCTCCTTCCCTCTTCCAGCCAATGGTTGACCAGAGCCACTTGCAGGGGAGGGGCTAAGGGTATAACAGCTGGGAAAACCACGAGGCTGGCCCCTCGCCATTTTGTAAGGCTGTCCAGAACCACAGAATTTATGTCTGGGTGTGAACTTTCTAACACAGTCGTGAATGGGGGAGCACCCACTTGTCTGTAAGTAAACCCGCACCCCAAGCTCAGTTAGCAAGTCCAATAAACTCGTTAAGATTCTTCAAATTGGGGTTTGGAGAATTTTTTCCTCAGGCTGTCACAAGGACGGTGGGAGGAGGGGATTGGATGCCACGTGCACCTCCCAGCAGTGAATTTGACCTATATATCATTCCATTTTTCAAAGAGCACCTAGTAAGTTTACAAATGACTGAGTCTACAGAAAAAATTCCCAGGAAACGCTGCCCTAAGTATCTCTTTCTCTAATTTCAAGTCTTAACTACTATCTTTTTGTTTTTTTTTTAGGACTTTTTAAAAATTTTACGTGTGTAAGTGTTATGCCTGCATGTGTGTAAGTGCACCTGTATCGTGCAATGCCCACGGAGGATAGAAGAGCGCTGTGGATCCCTTGGAACTGGAGTTATAGATGGTTGTTAGCCACCATGTGGGTGCTGGAATTCAAACTTGGGTCTTCTGTAAGAACAGCCAGTGCTCTTAACTGCTGAGCCATCTCTCCAGCCCCTTGGTTACTTAGTTTTGCTGGTACACATTCACTGTATGCAGTGTTGGTTTTCAAATCCAGAATTCTCCCAAGCACATTGCATTCCTCTGCTACGTTCACCTCTTCCGGTTCCTCCCTTGGACCTCCCCCACCGTCGTCTCTAGCTTTGATTGTTGCAAATGTCCTTTGTGCTCAACCTGCTTCAACTCTTACCAGCCACAATCTCTTTTCCACACAGTAACTCAAGTGAATGTTTGAAAACGATGGTCAGATACCAGTCACTGCCCTCAACTCTGCAACTGGTGTTTATTATACATCAATACAAGTCTAAATTGCTGCAGTGGATCCGCCAAACTCTACTGTGGAGCTTCTAAATCCCTCCCTGATATCATTAGTCAATGATTTTCCCTTTCTCCCCATTTCAGCTACACAAAGGGCTCTTGCAAGGGCAAGTGTGCATGTCCACTTTGTCTTATAAAATGCTCCCAAGGACACAGCAAGTCTACCTCTGCCTTGGGAGTTTTTCTCCTGCCTGATGCCCTCATTTCAGTCAGAGAGATTTTGTGAGCGAGAACTTCATGACCGTCCCTCAAAAACAGCACCCCATCTGTCCCTCATCCTAACTCATCCTATGACTACCTATCAGGGCATATACTTTTAAATCATATTTCTCTACTATACTATAACCTCTATAAAAGAAGAAACTATCTACTTTGTCACTGGTGTGCATCCAGAGCCTAAAATTGTCATCATTTTCAGTACTTAAGAAAAAAAAATCGTTAACTATATGGGTGTTCTTGAAGGACAAGACAGAATTTGTATTGGGTATTAAGGAAAAAAGTCTTCATGTATAAAAGTCAACTAAATCTTGAATATAGAGAAGTAATTTTTATAATTTTCCAATAGTTTATTTCTATGAAATTTGTGACATAAAATCTCAGGCTATTTACTATATATTTTTAATATACATAAATGTTTTCATTGGCATCACTGAAGCGTGAATTTGCAGATAGTGAAAGAAAGTTAATACAATTCATTTTCTAGAAAGAGCACACACACACACACACACACGTACACACACACTTGGTCCTGATGAAAGGTCTTCAGTCATAATCCTGATCTTATTTTATTGTCGTGATTTCTTGCATGTTCTGTTTTGAGCCACTGTCTCTCTTTAGTTTGGGCTGGTCTCAAACACATCTTTGTCTAAGCACTCATAACTAACTGATCAGCATTTCTAATTATACACATGTCATTCAATTATCAGCTATCTCAGCTGACAAATAAGGGCAGATATCATCAGTCACAAGCAGAAATCAGTCTGGTACAATGTGTGAATGGTAGATTCAATGTCTGGGCCAGAAATGCAAAAGTCTAATTAGAGGGACAAGACTGTAAATGACGTGAGAACATTATCACCTTCAAAGCTGGTTTCAGTAATGCATTGAATGTTTATCCCCAATTCACTTACTGAAATATTAAGGCCCAGGTGTGATGGAATTTAGAGATTAAGGCCCTTTGGGAGATAGATAGGTCATGACAATGACCTCGGGAATTAGCGTCCTTGTAAGAAGAATCACTCATGGGGTATAAGCATGGACTGTCTCCCATAGGCTCATGTCCTGGGACTGGGTTCCCAGCTGATGGGATTTGGGGAATAGATTGGATCATGAGGGTTCTGATTATATTGCACAGATTAATCTTCTGGTAAGTTAATAATATGATGGCATTATTATGGGATGGTAAAAGTGGGAGGTAACGCACAGGTAGAGGAAAGAATCCTTGGAGGAGTGCCCTGGAAAGATGGAGCTTGTTTCCTAACCCTTATCACCAAGGGGCTCATGGTCTCTGTCACAATCTTCCACTACCACACAGAAAATGTCTTCATTACAGGCCCAGAAATGCCAAGGCCAAATGACCACGGACTCAGCCCTCTGAAAGACTGAGCCAGAACAAATCTTTCCTCCCCATAAGTTGTCTCTCTCTAATTGTCACAGTGACAACAAGCTGACTAACAAGACACCTTGCCCTCCCCCTCTGCTCTCTGCCCTGGGAGGGAGAAGAGCCACTTGCAAACAGGAAGCCAGCCCTCTCCATGTACTGCATCCACTGGTGCCTTCAATTTTGATGTCCCTGCTTCCAGAACTGTGACAAATGTTTGCAGTTTAAGCCATCCAGTCTGTGGTATATGCCTGATCACAGCCTCAACAGATTGACTGAAAGTGCTTCCTGTCTAGATTTCCAGCTCAGCTCCACTCTGCAGAAACTCTCCAGCCCAGCCTACCCACTCTTCACTAAGAAACAGACTGAGTTGATTTATTGAGCAGAGCTGCCTCAGAACCAGCAACTTTCTTGTAATCAGATCCTGGACTCCTGGGTCTGCCTCTCTAGATACAGACCTAACAGAGCTTCTATTTGTCCAGCTTCTAAAAACCCCAATGTCCACTAGCCTTTGGCGCTCAGGAGACATGAAGTCTAAAGCAGACTTTAGAATATGATCTTATGGGACTGGAGAGATGGCTCAGCAGTTAAAAACACTGGCCGTTCTTGCAGAAGACCCGGATTCGAATCCCAGCACCCACATGGCAGCTAACAACTGTCCGTCACGCCAGTTCCAGGGAGATCCGACAGCCTCTTCTGTCCTTTGCAGGCATTGCACGACACAGGTGCACTTACCTACACGCAGGCAATACACACATACACATAAAATAAAAATGATAAAATGCTTTTAAAAAAAGAATATGATCTTATATGTGGGACTTCCTTATTCAGGCCTAATACTTTATATAATAAGGCGAGAGAAGTAGACTAACAATTACACAGGTTGTTGTACCTGTTTCATGACTAATCCTTACCTTAATTCTTCAGATCCATTAGGAATGATTAAAGCTCTCTATTTTTATATAAAAGAACAAGGTGGGGTAGGAACCAGACTGCTACCTGAGTACTCTGCTCTTAAGCAAATGGGGCGGTATGGTTCGCCTAGTAACCAGCTAATGGGCATAGGCTGTGGGGGAGATTTCTTACAATGTTCTCTCCACTCCGAATGGAGGTTTGACAGCCAGCAAGGCAGGCTGATGCGTATGTAATTCCATTGTCACCACAGAGCGGCTCCCATTTTGTCTGTGAACAGTTACATCTTGAGTTGCAATCTGAAAAGAGAGCTCGTTCATGATAAGAGACAGGTTTGGTTCTGAAAAGAAATGTAACAGTATACAATATTATCTCTTAGCAGGCAAGACCCTCATTTTAAAAAAAAATCAGTATTTTTGAGTAATATAAATGATGATATTGCCAATAGTTTGCCTTTGGAAATACACTTATTTTTCAAATTCCAACATTTAATTGTCAAACATGAGTCAACTATTAAATGACTTTTTCTTAAACACGATCTTAGGTTGCTAGGTGTGGTGCTGCACGACTTTGATCCCAGCACTGGGGTGTGGGGGAGAGGCAGAGACGGGGGGCCTCAGTGAATTCAGGGCCAGCCTGATCTACATAGAGAGCCCCTGTTTCAAAAAAAAATTATCTGAAGAGGTCTATAAATCCTCATTATGTCCGTTGCTGAGCCTATAGCTGTTATTAAAGTCTTCTGCTTCTTCTAGGGTCCTCAGATACACTTCTGTGCAAAGACGCTGCTGTACATGGTTACTAGGCAAAAAAGTAAGCTAGATCAATCTAGGACATGCTTTCAATGCATCACAGGTGATAGATTTGTGCAATTTTTTCCTCTCTTGAGATAGGGTCTCCCTACAGCCCCGGCTGGCATAGATCACACAGTGATCTGCTTGTCTCAGCCTCCAGGGTGCTGGGATTAAAGATTTGTACTGCTACACCCAGCTATGTGCAAATGTTTCATAATCACTGTGTGAACATCAGTACCATAGACGTGGCTGTGGAAGGATGAAAGAACTCAGTTAACACTGAATGGATGCCCTTTGTAACTTTTAGGGGCTGCATATGCACTGGGGTACATCTTGCCAATAATACACCATGTATCCCCTTTCTCCTGTGCCCACCCAATGCACACAGATCTTTTACATTCTGTATCATCTTTGCTTACAGTTTCACATTATTTCAAGGAATTGCTATCAAGTCACTTATCCATAAAACTTTATTGGAAGCCTCTTCTTCAGTGCTAGCTTTGGGAGGATGGGAGATGGTTATGAACGCGAATGAAGCATAATTATCCTCCAAGTGCTGGATTTCTCCAACAGTTGTTTTACATAATTTTGACTTTCCATCCCCTAGCCCCCCTTGTTCTGTCTCATTATCTTCCTTCTTTATCTCTTCCAGAATTTCCTCCCTCTCACTTTTTTTCTCTTCTGAGAATTCCTAATCTATTTTCCTCCCAACATTTAGCAGTGCTTACTTCTCTCCATCCTCTTTGCAGGGAATTTACCCACCAGCATGTCATTTCTTTCTGCTCCGTGTGTTATACCCAGTGACATTTCATCATTCCTCTTTCTTTTAAATAGTTTTTGTTAATCTCTCCTTTGTTAAATTTTCATTTACAGAGATTTTAGAGGCTTCAATGAAAAAATAATAGCTGAAATGTATACTCAGTGGAAGCAGAATTGATTTGTTTATTCATTTCTATGATGTTAGTATCAAGTACAATTCCTAGCACATAGTAGACAAAGAGAGAAGATTTCTGGGAAGTAAATATTCAAAGAAAAATGATTTTTTACTTCCCTTTGAGACAGGGTCTTGCTCTATAGCCCAGGTGGGGCTTGAATTCACAGTCTTCCTGTTTCTGCCTCCCCAGTGCAGACACTGCAGATGTGCACTACCTCATTCAGACAAACGTGGCATTTGGGAAAAAGAACCAGTCCTTTGGGCCCCTACTTCTGAGAGATATTTCCTTTAATGACTGTGATCATAATTTCTTCATTGATGTAAAGTTCTATTTGGAAGACCTGCTGTGGATTTAGTGATCTCAAAGATCACCCCAGACAGAATAAAAGAATATTTAAGTAGGCCTCTTGGGAAGTCCTCTGGGAATCCTTAGTTCTCCCCCCACCCTTTCCATGCATGAGACATTAACTGCTGGCTCACATGATTGGTTTCATTTGAGATTGTAATAATAACAATGTCTTTGAAAGCTCAGTCTTAGGGCTCCCTGGATCCTGTGAGATCAAGATCACGGATGGCTGGACCTCCAAGAGAACTTGGTGTGACAGAGGACACCCAGTCACTCCATTCACAAATCGGGAAGGAAAGGTCCATATCAGTCAGGGTACCTTCTCAAGTACCATTTGTTAGAGGCAACCCTCCCAGGCCTCTTGATTCTAAATTCTCATCTCCTGTCATTTTATTCCTTTATTGCAGAAGATTCCTTGCATTATCATATCTCAACCTTGTCAAGGAGGACCTCTCCAGTGTCTAGAATCAAAATAGCCTTTTCAAACAAAGCAATACAGGACAATCCCTGAGAGCCTTTTGTATTAAAGTTAATTATTTTACATTACTGAGAGTGTACGTAATTTGCCATCTAGGGCAGACTTTAATTGCATACATGTCTTATGAAGAATGTGTTTGACAGTAAAGTTGTGGTTTAAAATGTTAATTATAAAAACAGTTTCAACAACTATGTCAGAATATTTATACCCAAATGAGATTTTTCTTTCAAAAGAATTGTGCTGAAAGGTGAGAGACTTTCCCAGTGACATGCCATTTCTTTGGCTGTTCCCATGGCACAGCTATTCTCAAAGGTTAAATCTTTGCCATTGTTGAGGATGTTTCTAAAGAAACATGGAAAGCAGTTTTGAAAGAGGAGTTTTAGAATGCTTGAAACAATGACGGAATGATTGCAATTCAATGACAGAGTCTCAAGGTGACCGCTAAAGGGCATCCACTCAGCGAATGTCGCCTTTTATTTCTTTAAAGTATTCCGTCTTTTACGATGTGAGTGCACATAATACGAACTACAAAAGTTTGCAGCTGTTGTCTATGTATTCGTTTTTGGCTTGGAAACAGCACGATGTAGATACCTAGAGTCAGGCTTGTGTTCAAGGTCATGATCTGCCTTTGATAGACCTCAATTTGGGGGAAGCAAACTGACATTTTAAAACTCACTTCTCTTTAAAGAAGGGCAGCAAAACTTACACATATAGGAATATAAGAGATCTAAGTTATAAAATGGTATTCTATAAATTGCAAAACAAACTATTCTACCATGTTGGTTTATAATGAGGATCAAAGGGATAATTAAAGGTGACATGACACTTCTGTTCTCTCCAGAATCTTCTAACAATTCACTTACAGTCAACATTCTTAATGCTCATTTGCTGATCAAAAGAACAGCAGACTCTCCTCAGCATCACAGCACTCTAGACATACATTTTTAAATTTTCATTTGCTAATATTACATTTTTTTTTTGTATTTTTGAGACAGGGTCTCCCTGTAGCCCCAGCTTTCCTGGAACTCACTATGTAGACCAGGCTGGCCTTGAACTCACAGAGATCCTCCTGCCTCTGCCTCCCAAGTGCTGGGATTAAAGGCATGAGCCATCATGCCCGGCTAATATTACATTTTGAAGATCATTGACTTTTGTGTGTATGAGTGTTTTGCCTGAATGTGTGTAGGAGCATCCATGCATACAATTCTTGTGGAGCCCAGAAGAGGGCGTCAGATCCCTTGGAACTGGAGTTACAGATGGTTGTTAACTGCCGTGTGAGTGTTGGGTTTGGTACGTGGGTCCTCTGCAAGAGCAGTCAGTGCACTTAACCACTGAGTCACCTCTCTGGCTCCACTAATTTTACATTTTAGATGGAAGAAATTATGGCTTCATTTATCAGTGATAAAAGTCATACTGGTGAAGATGTAGAGGCAGAATGCAGAGGAGGCAGATGAGCATGAAGGGCAAGTTGGACGGGAGTGAGAGACCAAGTGGTAAGCGAGGAGCTACAGAGCAGAGGTGACAGTATGGAGGGGACATCATGGTTTGGTTAGAAAATGTCCCCTACAGGCTTAGGTGTTTGAACACTTGGTCCCCACCAGGTGGCCTGTTTGGGGAGGCTATGGAACCATTGGGAGGCTGGGCCTGTGGGTTACCGGGTGGGCAGGCCTTGAGGCTCATAGCCCAGGCTTGCTTTTCCTGGTCCAGCTCTGCTGAGATGTGAGCAGGCAGATCCCACACACTCCCACAGCCATGGACCACCCATTGCTCTGCCCTCCTCTCCATGATGGACTGTATCCCCTCCAACTTCAAGCCAAGGCAAACCCCTTGTTCCGTAAAATGCTTTTTAGCAGATTTTGGTCACAGGGATTATAACTGAAACTAGTAAGTAGATTACTGTTCAGAGAGTTTTCCCTTTAGCCACTGCAGAGCTCCAAGCACTCAGGTAGATACAGTCAAGGATCTGCCTTGTATGTGACGGGGACTCAATAACACTTTTAGATAAACAAATGCTGAGATAGGTAGAAGGATGCAGAAAGCTACCTCTGGTAGAGCGATGGAAGGGCTCTTAAATGGGAAAGTGAAATAAACCCCACAAGGTCCAGCCTATTAGTATGAGAGATATACTAGAACACAACCTCATCGCTCACTCCACAGGGGATAGTATGGGAGTGAGGGTATCAATAGTAAACATGAATCATTCATGTTCTCCAGACCCCACTGCAAGACAGACAGCTAGAGACAGCTGCCCTGGGGTCAATACACCAAGGACAACTATTTTCTCCTAATACCTGCTGTGATCCAATCACAGCAGAGGCTATGGAGAATGGCCTACAGAGTACTCCATTTACCTAGGAGTCCAAAGGGAAAAAATGAAATTACTTCCATCTATTTTGAGTCAGAAAAGTACTAATTGCTTTCATGTACATTATATTGCCTAGGCCTTACACAATCTTAAAACCTCAATTAGTATTCTAGTTGAAAGACAGGAGAATTGTAGCTAGATTGTTTTAATCCATAAAACGTCTCTTCACTAAGAATAGGCAAAGTCAAGGTTCAAGGCCTGTAAGTCTATGATCATGTTGTTTCATTTGTCAGGTTAATTCTCTAAAGTGAAAATGGATTGTGCACTTTTAAATATTTCTATAAAGCATTCAAACTCAAGTTCAAAAGAAAGAACAAATTTGGGTGACAGTAACAGAGTCCAAATGTTAAGTCCTGTCAGCTATTCTGTAAAACAGCAAGTCCCTTTCCATAGTTGTGAGGTTTAAAAATCAAATTAATTTTATCAGAAAACTCTATCAATATAATTAAATAAGACAATCTCCTCAAATTATGTAGTGAGGGAACATACCCTTGGTAGGAGACAGTCAGTCCAGCCACATCGGAGTTTTCGCAGCCCAGGGCAAACAGGGAAAGGAAGAGGAGGAAGCCGAAGACGGACGATCCCACGTACAGTTTGGCAGCTCCACACACATCAAGCCTGAATTTTTTCATGATGATTCCTCCAGAGAATATTCCAAGGGCCACTGCAGGAATGTTGATGAGGCCTGGGGGGCAAGAGAAGCTTGTTTTGTGACTCTCTCAAGGAATCGAAGGGCCCAAGCGCTTTCTCAGTGACCGCACAAGGAAATATAAAGACGTCTGATGTATTCCACTGTTCTGTCACTTTAGGGAAATGTTCACCGCCACTGAACAACATACATAAGAGTTCTGGATAAGAGTCAAGGTCATGGATTGCTAATAGCACACTGTATTTTTGGAGTTCTCTGTGACACAATGTATATGGTACAAGCCTCAACTCCATTAACAACTGAATCAATCAACCCAAGATCTTTTCTGGTCCAAGATCAGAATTAATATTCTCAATAAGGTGGCAATTAAGTGACATAAATGTTCTTTAACACTATCTAGAAGAGGGATAAGAGGCGTGGATGATGAAAGGAATTGTTTTTAATGTCTTGGTTTCTATTTTCTGGCTCAAATTTGATTTTGTTGATCTAGCTTCTCTATTCTTCCTCACAGTAGTGTGTCTTATTTTCTTATTAGGTACCAGGCACTCAACTAAACATTTGACAGATGTGCTGGATAGCTTTAGGGTCAACTTGACACACCTGGGTAGAGGGAGCCTCAGTCGGGGAATTGCCTCCATTGGACTGGCCTGTGGCCATTACTGTGGGGCATTTTCTTGATTATTGAGTAATATGGGAGGGCCCAGCCCACTGTGGGTGGTACCACCCCTGGGCAGGTGGGCCTGTGTTGTACAAGAAAGCAAGCTGAGCAGGGGTCAAGGGAGCAAGCCAGTAAGCACTGTTCGTCTTTGGCCTGTGCTTTAGCTCCTGCCTCCAGGTTCCTGCCCTGAGTTCCTACCTTGGCTCCCTGATGAACTGTGACCTGTGAGATGTAAGCCAAATCAACCCCTTCTTCCCCAAGTTGCAGGTGGTCAGGGAACAGAAATTGGTACCAGAGAGTGGTCAGGAAAGACCATTGGTGAAAGTACAGACTCAGCTGCAGTGAAGACCCCAGGATTGATGGAGTCATGGAGAGAATCTGAGGCTTTGCACCTCGAGAGGCTAGAAGAGGCCATTGGTGAACATGCAGGCTCAGTTTCAGTGGAGACCCCAGCTTTTTGGAGATTCCAGGACCATGGAATGACCACCAAGGGCAGCAGCAGGTGTGGAATGGAGCTGGCCTGGGTCCACGAGTTGAGCTGTGTGTGCTGTAGACGGCAGTCAGAGAAGTGGAGCTGCCAGAACTCTTTAGAGCCCAGAAAGTGGTAAGTGAATCCCAGATGTCCAGCCTTGAAGTACTTTGCTGGACTTAGGTTTTGCTTAGGTGTGCCTGATTCTTCCCTTTGAAATAAGACAGTACTTGTTTTGAATTTTACAGGAGCCTACAGTTGAGGCTTTTTTTTTTTTTTTTTCTTTTTGAGACAGGGTCTCTCTGTAGCCCCAGCTGTCCTGGCACTCACTATGTAGACCAGGCTGGCCTCGAACTCACAGAGATCCGCCTGCCTCTGCCTCCCAAGTGCTGGGACTAAAGGCGTGTGCCACCATGCCCGGCACAGTTGAGACTTTTTAAAAGAGACTGAACTTTTAAGCATTTGGATTTTTTAAGGACTGCGGGGCTTTTAAGGTTGTACTGTCTTATGTTGTGATATTAATGTTATCATCCTGTCTTGGGGACAAGAAATGGAAGGGTTATGGTATAATAGTAATGTGTTTCTGTGTCAAGTTGGCAAGGGGTCAGTTGTGCTGGAGAGCTTTCATTGTCAACTTGACACACCTGGGTTGAGGGAGCCTCAGTTGGGGAATTATCTCCATTGGACTGGCCTGTGGCCATGTCTGTGGGGTATCATCTTGATTGTTGTATGATGTGGGAGGTTCCCAGCCCACTGTGGGTGGTGTTACCCCTGGGCAGGTGGGCCTATGTTATACAAGAAAGCAGGCTGAGCAGGGGCCAGGGGAACAAGCCAGTAAGCAGTGATCCTCCATGGCCTATGCTCCAGCTCCTGCCTGTCGGTTCTTGCCCTGAGTTCCTACCTTGGCTCCCTGATGAACTGTGACCTGGGAGATGTAAGATGAATCAACCCTTTCCTCCCCAAGTTGCTGGTGGTCAGAGTGTCTTGTTACAGAATGGAGAAACAAACTAGAACAACATAGTATCATTAAGAGTACAGGTATATTACAATCCTCTCATCAGAGAGCAATTTCTTCACGATCACGCTTAGTAACAGGTAAGACTCAATTTGAATGTAGGTAGGCTAAAGGCAAGTCCCCGACCTTATATCCTAAGGATACATTTTTACCTCTTCTTTAAGGGAGTTGGGAAATGGAATCTCAGACAAAGAGATGTGTAACTTAACTAGTCAGTAAATAAGCAGGCGATAAAACCAGTGCAGGAACCAGTTCCACAGAGTAGTGAAGGGTATGTACTCAGCAACCCATTAGCCTGGGTTTAGATCTCAGTCCAGCCAATTAATAGCTGTGTAACTGCAAACAATTTTCCAAATATCTCTAAACCAACCTGCTCATGGTATACTGATGATCTAATACAGGCTAAGAATCCACTACCTAAAATGCTTGGGATGGACCGAAGTGATTTTGAAATTTGGATTTTTTTTCAGACTTTAGAATATATATACACACTTAATGAGATGTCTTGGGGATGAGACCCAAGTGTACCCAAGACCCAAGTATAAACAAAAACTTAATTATATCTCATACACACTGTCTGCAGATAATTACGATGTTTTTACTGAGACCAGCCACACATGGTCAGGTGTGGATTATTCCACTTGTGGTATCATGTCAGCATTTTGGATTTTAGATTTGGGTTGTTCAACCTGTAATACTGTTGGGGTGATTAAGTGAAAGATTCTTAGGATAACATCTGCCACATAAAATTACTCAACTGTTTCTTTCGATCCGATTAGTGGAGGTGAAAGTGAGGTGAGGTGGGGATTATTTCCTTGATACTGAAAAAATAACTTTGGACTGGGTCTGGTATTGAAGATCTATAATTCCAACTACCTGGGGAGACTGAGGCTGAAGGATTGTAAGTTTAAAGCCTGATTAGGCTACATAGAGTTTAAGGGCAACCTGAGTACCTTAGTCAGATGATGTTTGAAAATAAAATTAATGAAATGTGGGATTTGGGCTGCTGCTGACTGGCAGAATGCTTGCATAGTTTGTGCAAACACCTGTGTTCAGTTCCCACCCACCAGAAAAATAAATAAATCTAAAGATTTTGGGAAACAGTTTTTGGTACCCTGTTGTTTAGACTAATAATTAGAAAGAGAACCCTGGCACTGAATAACTCATCTGCTAATTAAAGTTTGTTTTTCATTTTGTCTACCTTTTAATCACTAATTCTACATTATGGTCAGGTTCTGAGATAATGCATTTTTTTAAACAATAAAGGAACTGATTCTTGCATATACTCTGGCCAGCAAGTTCAAATGCAGATTTGGCATTTGTGGAGTTCAACATAATCCCAAATCCTCACTTCTGACATGCAAGCCAACATGAATCAGAAAAATAAAAGACCAGCTGATCTGTAGTGATTCGGTGCAAATTTCCCTCCATCCTTGTTTATTCATTCATATTTTCTTTTAAATTTTATATTCTTAGTCTTTTAAGCTTCATAGAACAAAAACTCAACTATATTATGATTTGAGGGCTTGCTATTACCTTTTTTTTTAAGACTGTATCCTCTATGCATGGATAGATAAAAGGTTGCCTTTAAAAAATTTTTATTATTTTTATTTTATGTGTATGCATGTATTGCCTGCATGTAGGTAAGTGCACCCGTGCCATGAAATGCCCGCAGAGGACAGAAGAGGCTGTCGGATCCCCTGGGACTGGAATTACAGACAGTTGTTAGCTGCCATGTGGGTGCTGGGATTTGAACCTGGGTCTTCTGCAAGAACAACCAGTGTTCTTAACTGCTGAGCCTTCTCTCCAGCCCCAAGGTTGTCCTTTTTAATTTAACTACAGGTTGTATGTGTTAACATTAACATGATTATATTGAAATTCGGCTCAATCTGGCTGCTGATAGAGCTCTGTGGGAGAGCCTTGTTTAGAAATCAGCTCACCTTCAAGGGGCATGACTGTAAAATCAATAAAATGGAAAAGAAAATACTGTTTTTCTTCTCTAGCTAAACTGAAATTTGTGGGTATGGTAGGCAATAGAAACAGAGTGTCCCAGGACTTTGAAGGGACAAAAATCAGCTAAAAGGCACCTGATTGCTATTTTTAAAATAGAGAATAGATACCAGAAAAGAATGTAACAAATCTGGTTACCCATGACCCAAATTAAACCATGTGACTATTTGCTCTTCATTTTCAAAATTAATTTTAAATGTGGAGCTAAAACTAGCTCTCCCTGTGTGCCAGCTCCCACCGTCCTTCCCAGATGTCAGCTCTGCCATGGATTCCGTGACATTCCATTTTAATTCACATTCATACAATAAACATGTAAAGCACAGTGCCTTTGAACATACAGAGAAATTCCTGGTTAGCAGTGTGTTCTGGACATGACAGACTGCTGCAGTCATGAACTCCCAGCGGCCAATGTTGCCTGCACAGCATTGCCAGCATGGAGGGACAAGGACTAAGGAGTCCCCACCATTAGCTGAGGACCTAATGACAGTCGATGGCTGCTAGGGAAGGAAGAGGCAGTTTTCTTTAAGGGGGCGTGTGTGTGTGTGGCCCCTGGTAGGTGGACCATGCTACAGTGTATGGTGCCCTACCCCTGAGTAAATGGGCAGCACAGACTGAGCTCAGTGAGTTATTTAAAAAATAAGGGACACAAAATTGGGAGTTAGAGAGGAGGAAATGAACAAGCGATGGAGGGTGAATCTGGGAGAAGTTGGGAGGATGGAGGGTGAATATGTGTCCTGTATGATATTTTCAAAGAATCAATAAATAGTCCATTAAAAAATCCTTGTGGCTGGAGAGACGGCTCAGTGGTTAAGACCACTGGCTGACTGCTCTTGCAGAGGACCTGGGCTCAAATCCCTGCACCTACATGGCAGTTAACACCCATCCATAACTCCAGTTCCAGGTGGATGCCCAAAGCCCTCTTCTGATCTCTGCAGACATTGCACAGCATGGGTGCAATCACACACATTACAGGCAATACACTCATATACATAAAATAAAAATAAATTAAAAATAAATACATGAATTCTTGTTTGTGTCTTCCTGTGTTCCATCACTTTTGTGAGAGTGGAAGGGTGAAGAAGTGTCTTCAGTTCTTTCTCACATTTTAACACACACACACACACACACACACACACACACACAATTCTTCCATAGAACAAACTAAAAACAGAAGAGAGAGCAGAAAGAAACAGAGGTAGCGAGGAAACAGAAACCACTGAGTGGTATCCTCAAGCATGCAGTCCGCATTGTATGTCATCTTTTATCTTTTCTTTTTAATCTATTTGGACATGTGTTCATATCACTCTTCAGATGACTGAATTAAGCATCAATATATTATAGTAATATTGAAAAATGCACCTACTAAGGCTTATTGGGCTGTTACCCATTGTTACCAATGTGAAACTAAGATGTTCTAAGAACTCAATCTATTACGAAAAGCATGACTAAATAGTTACTTTTCTCTCCCAAAGCCTTTCAGTTATCTATAGATGTTACATGTTAGAAACTATCAAGAATAGCATGTTAGGCAACCTCTGATGCATAACTCAACCAGTTCTTATGCTGAGTTCATGTGGATGAGTCTATTTGAGTGTATAGAAAAGGGTTATGAATTGAAAGAATTGCTAGTTTGATTTTTTTAAAAATCATTTTTCCAAAAAATAAACATGCACTAAAGAAACAGAACTCAGGTAATTTTAGACCTGGCTATGCCGTAATCTATGCGTACATGACATGCACTTAGATACTGGGTGGGTCAATGAATCCCTCAGAATTTCAGGTTCTTTCCCATCTGTTAATTCTCCTTAAAAGTAATTTATAGACAAAAATATTATTACCTACTGTATTACTTTTCTCATTGCTATAAGTAAATAGCTTGCTAGATGCAGCTTAGGGGAGGAAGTTTATTTTGGCTTATAGATCAAGGATTGCAGTCCATCATAGTGGAGAAGGCAGGATGGCTGGAGCGGGAGTGGCTAGTCATGCTGCTTCCACAAACTGAACACAGAGAACTGACAGAAAGGATCAGGTTATAAAACTACAAGACCCACCTCTAGTGGTTTATCCTCCAACAAAGCACCATCTCCTAAGGTTTTCAAAACAGAGCCACCAGCAGGGGCCCAGGTATTCAAACACATGAACCTATGGGGATGTCTTGCTTTCTTACCACATCTACCCAGCAATAGAATTCGATCACATGTAATCTATTCTTAAATTTATAAAAATAAATTTATTTACGTGTGTGTGTGTGTGCATGTGCGTGCATGCACACACATGTGCTGGCACAAGTATGTCATAATGTGCAGGTAGAGGTCAGAGGGCATTTCTGAGAAGTTCTGTCCTGCCACCTTGTGGGTGCTAGGAATCCAACTTGGGTTGTCAGGTATGTCTCAAATGCCTCTACTCCATGAACCATCTCCTTATCCCTAATTTTCTATTATAAACACCTGTCTTTAAATAATACTCTTAAACTTTCCTTTATGAAAAGCATTTTTCAATTTGAAATTTTAAAACTCATTCACCATTTCTGGGCAGGGAAAGATTGAGTGCCCTAGATGTACTATTGTACATCATGGGAGGATATTTCTTTTCATTTTGACTGAACTTTATCTCTCATATAATATGAAAACTTAGTTCAAAGAGGATTGTATCCAATATGTGAAAGTTGAAACAATTAAATTTTAATATTAGATTAGAAAATCACTTCTATGATTTGAGGGCTTAATATAGACTCTGAAAAACAGAACCAAAATAGCATTCTTCAGAAAGGAAAAGACTGAAAATTGGGCTTAATTAAAATTACAATAATTGTCATTGTCAGAAAGAAAAGCCAAGTTGAAGACAGAATATTTGCAATACACGTATTGAAGGAAGAACCTAATATCAAGAAAAATACCCAGCATGCCTAGAAATAAGCAAGGCCAAAAAAGGAGTCAATTAATAGAACTTGGAGAATTACTAGAAAGGAACATTAACTTTTCTCATGGAAATGACTAATGAACCTATGCAGAAATATTCTACACAGTGGTCATCAGGTATCTTTAAAATGAAAAATAAAACACTGATGGACCTGGATCATCACTGAGTCCTTTAAGTGACTCAGGATTTGGTGTTAAAAATTACATCTCTCAAGATCCACTCAACTCTTTGCCCCCTTTTCAGAGACAGACATACTTAGTGCTTTCACTTATTTATTTTTGTGTCTGTGTATATGTGTGAGTGTATGCTTAGTGGGAGGGGGACTGGGTGCCCACAGGGGCCAGAAGAAGGTCTGTGGATCACCTGGAGTTGGAGTTATAGGCAATTGTTAGATGCCATATGGGTGCTAGGAATTGATTTCAGGTACTATGGAAGAGCAGGAATCACTCCTAACTGCTGAGCCATCTCTTGAAGTCATGCAGCGATTTTAAAAAATATATATATTCTAGGAAGAAGGACTGGAGAGAGAGATGACTCAGCAGGTCAAGGGTTCTTCCTGCTCTTCCAATGGACCCAAGTTCTGTTCCAGACACTCAGATCAAGTGTCGGCCCTCGTAATGGTCTCATTATTGCCTGTACTGATACACTATAAACACAATCTTTATAAATAACTCATTCTTCAGGAGTCAGAAAAGTCCTTTGCCTTTAAGCAAACACAAGGCTTGTTATGCTGAGCACCGTTAAACTGTCTAAATTCCTATTGCATGGAATCTTAGACATGTTGCATGCAATCTGGCCAGTGCTGTAAGGTTTCAACAAATCTTGAAAACAAATGCCTAGTACCTAGCCGTGCCCTGGTATTAGCAATCCCCTAGTAAGACACACACTAGATTTATTTGTTAGTACTTCTTTGTACTTCTTCATGAATTGTGAACAGTTCTCTCAGAACCAGTCAGTTACAAATAACTCTGTTGCAAAGTTGTAACACAGACCCACTACATATATATTTAACCCAGAGATTCTTTTATTGACTTTTTCACTTCGTCTAATAGACCTTAAATTACTGTTGGTTAAAAATGGGAAAAATCTAATGTTACTAATGAACAATATTAGTCAAACGCAGCTTCTATGGGGACACACGATGAACATGTGGGCATACCAATGACAAAGTTGGTCTTGGAGGACGATTGTCCATACTGTTGTTCAATGTACTTTGGTTTATAGGTCACCATGCCAAATAGAGAATTGAACTGAATGATGCTTGCACACAAGTATAAAACATACACTGGATTTCCAAAAAGATTCTTCAGTGAAGGAAGAAAATCTGTAAGATAAAAAAATAAGAGTCTTTTAAGACAGTGTCACATGTGGTAGACAGTGAGTCCCAGAGCTACCATCTGGTCAGGTTCAAATCCAGACATATGTATATACTGGTTTTTGCAGGCAGATTATGTAGGAGCTGTGAGACGGGAACAGATTCCACCAGCTGAATAACCCCCTCATAATAACACTAGGAGTCCTAGGCTGGACATCAAGAACGTCTGTTATTGGGTCTCTTTCTTCAAACTTAGTTCATAGCCATCTCCCTTTAATGAGTATAGCTTAGTGTTGAAATGATTGTTGACCTTCTCTCTTACTCCTGTGATAATCAACCAATTCAAGAAGTTGAAGAATTTCTGTAAATGTAAATATTGGCTTACTTGACAAAGATGTGGGGGAACTTTCCCAGCCACCAGCTTCCACGAAGTGACTTCCTGAGAACACGCCTGGCCTTTGCCTGCCTCCCACTCAGACCCTTGATAAGCCATGCATTCAGACAGGGGCTCTCACTTGTTAAGAGGCTCTGAGGACTGCTGTCTCCCTCTTTTCTTTCACCCACACTATAGAACAGCCACTCTGAGGAGGGCACTGGTGTGTGACCCAGTAGAGAGTCATCCAAGGAAGATGACTGGGACTTCGGGTAATTCCCTTCCACGACTTCCTCAGTAAGAAAGGCTTTCCATCTCCATTTCTGCTTCCTAGGTCATTTCTCCATTTTTCTCTTGAACAAGAATGGGAGCAAAGTGCTCTTCAAAAATCTGCTCAGGTCTCAGTAGGAAGACTGAAAGTAACTCAAAAAAAAAAAATCAAGAAGAATCTGACTTACCTCTTGCCATTTCTACTATTTTTGCTTCTTCTCCATGGGGCATTGGGCAGTTAACAGGGTCATCTACAGGAAATGTGGACTTCTCAGAGGGTGAACTGGAGGCCTCTCTACTTTGGGGTCTTGGTAGATTCTTGGGTAAACACCAGAAAGGTAAGGCAGCAAGGAGACTCAGGAATCCTGCTATTAGATAACCAAGCCACCAGGCCCCGACCCACTGTGGATCCTTTGGCGTAATGGTTATGTGGTCTGAAAGACAGACGGGGTAGCACTAAGGAGCAAGTTCTGCAAGGATATGGTGTGAAATGGGTTACTTCAGAGAAAACAATTCTAGCAACAGCTCTACCGCACCATTAAAATCTAACAAGGCCGGGGAGGTTGCTCAGTGGTTAGTCCCTTGCCACACAAGGATGAGGACCAGAGTTCAAATCCCTAGAACCCACATAAATGTGGGTGAGCATGGTTGCTATCCTGTTATTCCAGCCTCCAAAAGTGGAGGCAGAGGATTCCCAGGGCAAACTGGCTAGCTACACTCGCAGTATCAGTGAGTTCTGGGTTTCATTGAGAGACCCTGCCTAATGAACAAGATGGAAGAGCAGGTCCTGACATCAACCTCAGGCCTCCATATGCATGCACACCTGTGTACACATACACAAACCTGTGTCGCATATATATGTACATATACCACACACATCAAAATGGAAAAAGAAAACTCTTAACAGTTCACACAGACTTTTTTCTAATCTCAAGGGAAGATGTTTCAGGAAGATGTTCTTCCGATCCCACGTGCTTCTTCTGTGCCTTAGGTTCAAAGAGCTTAGCATAAATATTGTGAGGGATTCACGACTTTAAAACTGTGCTCTGGAGTCCTGGTGGAAAGCAGGCAGCAAAAGAGCCACTGGGATCCAGGGAGAGGCAGGAAGGAGGGAAACCCCACAGCCAGCTGCTCCCTGTCGAGAACACTTTGATTTATATATAGAATGTCTAAGATTTTATTCAAAGTAGGATGCCTCAGCTCGACAGTCCAAATCTGGTATAAACTTCTCACTACAGAGCAAGTGAGTTTAAGACTCGCTGAGGTTAAATCAGTAGGATGTTATTTATTACACACTGGTTAACTCCTCCAACCGTTGTGGTCTGAGGCAAACTTTCTATATGCAAATGAAATTTCAGTCTTGCTCACAAACATTTTACTTTTCTCACTTAACTCAAAAGGAAATTGGACTTTTTAAAATCAAGCTGGTGAGATGGCTCAGTGGTTAAGAGCACTGACTGTTCTTGCAGAACACCTGGGTTCGAATCCCAGCACCCACATGGCAGCTAACAACCATCTGTAACTCCAGTTCTAGGGAATCCAATGCCCTTTTCTGTTCTCTGTGGGTCCTGCACGACATGGGTGCACTTACATGCATGCAGGCATAAAAACTTTTTTTTTTTTCTTCTAATTGCTTTGGGTCTTTTTTTTTTTTTAATTTCTTTGTGTTTTTTTTTTTTTTTAAGAAAAAAAAATTGCATCTATATATACCAGATACATCTCACACTCATGGAGACAATTTAGTAGTCGCAGTAAAGAGAGAGAGAGAGAGAGAGAGAGAGAGAGAGAGAGAGAGAGAGAAGTCAGCAAGAGTAGGAGAGACCGGAGAGAGAAGGCAGGAGGAGAGAGGTTTGGCTGCCAAGGACTTTCAATCCTAGGTGTTTCTGGCCACTTTTCAAATGAATTATCAGTTGATGTCACTGTAATAAATGTTGACGCACCTGGAGCAGTAAGAGCCAAGAGTGGACAAAGCTTTCAGTCTGAACTGGACAGGATGCATGTGAATCACAAACCCCAGGAGAAAGCAGATCTGTCTCAACAACAAACCTCAGGTCATCCTGTCTTAACCACCGCCTGTTTTTCCACGTTCATGACACGTCAATGCATAGTCCATAGATTATAAAATACGACACTCATAAAGTATTAAAGACAAAATTCACAATTGTTCACACTGATCACAATTTAAAATGTAATAGTAATTAAAATGAATGGATAAATAAAAATAAATTCAGGCAGGTGAGCTGGCTAACTGGATGAAGGAACCCGCCACCAAGCCTGAGGATCTGAGTTCCATTCTGGAACCCACATGGTAGAAGGAGAAACCCAACTCCTTCAAGTTGTCTTCTGACTTCCACACGTGAATCACACACACACACACACACACACACACACACACACACACACACGATGAAATAAATAAAATGCATTAAAAATAAATTATGAATCTACTTACCTAGGTTTACAAAGCCAATGTCAACATACAGTTTGGCGCATAATGAGCCTAAGAGGAAGCCAAAAATGGGCCCTATAATTGCCACCGTCTGCACACACCCTGTACAAAAAACAAATCAAAATAAAACACATAAAGAGGGGAAATAGAGAGAGAGAGAGGGAAAAAGCTGCCATTTGGTTTTGCTTTGATTAAAAAAAGTAAAATGTTAAAAAATATAAGTGAGATCTAGTTAGAAGCTGCAAAATATTTCAACATCTCACATGTGTATGTTTTAATTGGTCAAATTTTCAGCTGCACTAAAGCAGGAAATAACTCCTTCTCTATTTGGAGTACAGAATCAACACTTTTAACATCAATCAGCTCATAGAAAATAACACCAAGACTCTGACAAAGTTAATTTCCAAAAACAGTAAACTTTAGTTCTGACAGTTAGATCCACTGTTACAAATTAGAACTAGGAGGCTAGAGAGATGGCTCAGCAGTTAAGAACATCTTGTTGTTCTTCCAGACGACCTGGGTTCAATTCCCAGCACCCACATGAGGGCTAGCAACAACTTGTAACTCCAGTTTCAAAGGATCTGATCCCCTTTTCTGGCCTCTGTGGGCAATGCAAGCACATGGTGCACTTACACACATGCAGACAAAACACCCATACACATAAAACAAAAATAATTTTAAAAAAATTAGAACTAAAGCCAGGTGCGGTGGGACAGTCTTACAATTTGAGCACTTGGGAGGTGGAGGAAGGAGGCAGGAGCTGTATGAGACACTATCTCAACATCAGACAACAAAACTGGAGTTTTACCGATTGTGACAGTCTTCCAAAAATGCTTTATGCTCAGTTAAGTGTTAAGTTCTGTTTTGACATGAAAATGGATTTTTTTGCTCCTTCATTCACAAGAAGCTGTTCTCATCAGCAGATCCTCAGTACAGATCTCTGGAAAGCAAGTAGCAAAGTAGGCTAGACTACCAGGAATAGGGCAAGTGCCTTCTGGAGAGCTCATGACCAGCCAGCACAGGATGAGCAGGTAAAAGGAACAGGTTACCCAAAGAGCATGTCTAGGAAGCAGAGACACAGCCCTTCCCTGTTAAGCATCCCCACTGGCCCTCCGTTTCAACACACTTGTTCCTGGGTAATGAAATGGATTGGGCATGAGGAACCGTGGTTCCCTGCTCTCTTTCAGAGCAGAAGATAGCTCAGGACAAGGGATAGGCTCTAAGCTCCCTCCAGAAGACCAGAATGCCTACCTACAAGTGCCAAGATAATTGCCATGGAGTTCCAGGTTAGGGTTGTGATTTATGCTACAGTAGTCCCTCAGAATGAGAGCCTGGTGCTCATTTGAGCCTGCTTGAGTATGTGCAGGATACCTTTGAGTTCCGTGGTGCATAGCTAGAAACCTAGTGGTCTTTGATGTAGCCCTTTCCTCTTACACATTCCCCTCCATCCCTAAAGGCTATGCCTTCAAAATTACAAAGCTCCAAGAAATCCAGACTGATAACACACCATGCACCACACATTATAGTCATCTTGTATCCATAATTTCTAGATGAATTTTAGGACACAAGAGCTAGCATTAAATGTTGCTTGATTGCATCTGACGTTAAGAGTTTGCTTCTGGCTGGGTGTGGTGGTTCACATGTTTAATCCCAGCACTCACGAGGCAGAGGCGGGAGGATCTCAGTAGGTCTGAGGCCAACGTGATCTATGATATAGTGAGCCCATGCCAACCAGGACTATATAGTGAGACCTTGTTTCAAAAACCCCAAGCTGAAGAGCTATTGGCAATTGACGGTTGCTGGAAGGAGAGTCAGTTTTCTTTAAGAGTGTCCCCTGGTAGTGGAGCATACTCCAGTGGATGGTCACACACCCAAGAGTATATGGGTAGCACAAATTGGGCTTGATGGGTTTAAAAAGAAAAGAACACACAGTGGAGTGAGTAGGGAAGGAGGGTAAGATTTAGGAGGAGTTGGGAACAGGGGAAGTAGCCAAATACAAGGTATAAAAGTCTAAAGGAATTAATGTAAATCAAAATTAAGAGCTTTCTTATATTGTTTCATGTGGAAGATTCCATACTCGTCTGTAGACTTTGGTGACAACAGTGACTTATCTGTCCTCTGAGACCTGATCTAGACATAGGGGAGCCTCGAGTCTTGGGAGCCGATCTATAGATGGGGTAGACTTGAGTCTTGTTAACATCCTTTTGAAATTTTTCATGCATTTATACCTGGTGTCAAGATCCCAGAATTCAGGACTAGAGAGATGGCTCAGTGGTTAAGAGCACTGCTGCTCTTGCAGAGGACCTAGGTTCAATTCCCAGCACCTGCACGGCCGCTAACAACCATCCATAACTCCAGTTGCAGGGAATCTGATGCCATCTTCTGGCTTCTGTGGCACTGTCCATATGTGGTACTCTTACGTATATGCAGCCAAAACACACATACACATAAATTTTTTAAAAAATAATGAATAAATAAATAAATAACATTTTAATATTTATTATTAATTAATCTATTTTAGTCTTTTTGAGACAGGTTCCCCTTGTGGCCCAGCTGATCTGGAACTCACTATGAAGACTAGGCTGGCCTCTATCTCACAGAGATCTGCCTGTCTCTGCCTCCAGAGTGCTAGAATTAAAGGCAAGTGCCAGCATGCCCAAGTTTAAAATACATTTTAAAAAACCCCAGAATTCCTTCTTGCCTATCTTAATCTAGGAAAGCAAAAAAAAAAATTTTTTAAATACTCATGAATTACAAAATGCAAGGGAGTTTCTAGGGTTGGAGAAAGAAGTTTGTGTGTCTGTGTGTGTCACATATTATAAATGCTTAGTTGGTCTACTAACTGATCGTTGCAATCTGAATCTCAGAGGCTCCTTTCCCCAGGTCCTGTGTCATTGCAGTTGAGTTAATAGCTGTTTTCTTTTATTCCAGTGTTCTTTCTCTAATGCAATAGATCCTGATTTATGAAGTGTCTTCCACACCCAAACCCTTTGCTTGCACCTCAGGAATGTGTCAGCTGAATGAAGGAGTGGGCATTGAGTTCTGGAACCTTCCATACTCGATTTGGTAGAGATGGAAGGGAGCAGACCAGGCATCCTGCTTCCCATGTTGAATGAGGTGGGCATTACCAATGTAGAAAGCCGCGTTGTCTTCACTGGCGAAGTCGTCCAGATAGGCGATGCCCAGCGGTTGAATGGGAGTCTCCCCTAATCCGCGAAGAAGGTTTCCCAGGAACACATAAACCCACATGGAAGAGCCGGCGTCCCCCTCACATTCTTGAAAGAAAAGCATACAAGAGTGCTGATGGTAGCTCATGGTGGAAGGCGAATATTTATTTTGCATTTTTACAGTCTGCCCTAAGGTTGAATTTGAATGTAGAATTGAAATCAACCATAGTCTTAATGTAAGAGCCTAGATCAACTCAGAAAATGTTTTGTGGCTTTGATCTCCTGTGCAGATAAATTCCCCGGAGACCTCATCCCCTGATGCTTGCCTCCTCCCGTACCCACCATTTCTTATTTTTCTGTCTTTGACTCTCTACCCTCCGGGGAACACTCAGTATGCCACCTTCAACCATAGTCTTAATGTAAGAGCCTAGATCAACTCAGAAAATGTTTTGTGACTTCGATCTCCTGTGCAGATAAATTCCCCGGAGATCTGATCCCCTGATGCTTGCCTCCTCCCGTACCCACCGTTTCTTATTTTTCTGTCTTTGACTCTCTACCCTCCAGAACACTCAGTATGCCACCCGGGGAGTACACGTCATAACAAAGGCCTCCCCTGGATTTCCACACTTTTCAGTTTCTCAGCAGAAATCACAACTAAGTTTTATTGTTGACAACTTCTGTCTGAATGCAAAATTGTATGTGACAGATACTGTGGCACTGGGTGGCGTTGCCCACAATTGTCTTTGGTAGTGATCAGCCATTTTTAGGGTTTTGAAAACAACATAAAATGTATCTGAACTATCTATATTCTTTAGCTTCCGTTCACATCTCACATCTTTTGAACAATTTTGGAACAATATTTTTGAAGTGGAATCTAATACTGTTTTAAGATACATTAATAAAAGTCGTGTCATAATGTGACCATTTGAAATAGGACAGTTACCTCATTAATATAATTGAAAGATCTCTTTACAGAGCTCAGCCACTCTAATAAAATCGAGGGTGTAAACCACCACTTCTAAATGCTCCTTCCCAGTCACAGGCAGGTCTAAGTGGTTCTCAGGTATTTAAATTTTTTTTTTTTATTTTATGTATATGCATGTATTGCCTGCACATAGGTAAGTGCATCTGTGTCCTGCAATGCCCACAGAGGACAGAAGAGGCTGTCGGAGCCCCTGGAACTGGAGTTACAGACAGTTGCTAGCTGCCATGTGGGTGCTGGGATTCGAACCTGGGTCTTCTGCAAGAACAGTCAGTGTTCTTAATGACTGAGCCATCTCTCCAAACAGTCCTATGAGGTGGGAGTTATTTTCACCCACTCATAACCCTGAAGGTAACTTTGATTTGAAGTGTAGGTTATGAAGAACTGAGGTGCACACCTTTGGATAAGACTATGTAACAGAAAAGAAGACTGGGGCTGCTGCAGAGATGGCTTAGGGGTCAAGAGGGCTTGTACTCTTGCAGAGGAGTGGAGTTTGGTTCCCAGCATCCATGTTGGGCCTCTCACAACCACCTGTAACTCCAGTTCTAACTTCTGGTCTCTGCAGATATCCATACACGCTCACGTGCACATGCGCGCACACGCACACACACACACACACACACACACACACACACACACAATAAAGATATATAAATTTTACAAAGAAACTTTTTGGTTGGTTCCTTATCTTTCCATGGACCTAAATTAAATGTATTGCTTATATTACATTAAGAGAGTCTCTAGATTATTATCGGTCACCATTTACTCTCTTCTTTCCTTCTAGAATGTTTTTCATCTCTTGAGGGATCAGAGAAATTTTACTTTTGAAAAAGATTTTATTTTATTTCATTTTTAACGTGTGTATATGTGTGTGGGTTTGTGTACACAAGTTGTGGTGCCCACAGATGTCAGAGACATTGGATCACGGAGAGCTGGAGTTACAGGTGGTTGTGAGCCACTTGACATGGGTGCTGGGAAATGAACTCGGGTCCTCTGCAATAGCCATGACCCTCTGAGTCGTCTCTCCAGCCCCTGGTTCTACGCTTTGTTACCACCCATCCTCTCACTGCCTGCCCATGTCCAAAAAGATTTATTTTCTTATGTGTGTTTGAGAGTTTTGCCTGCATGTGTGTCTGTGCACCATGTGCATGCCTGGTGCCCACAGAAGCTACAAGAGGGTGTCGGATCTTCTGGAACTGGAATTCAGATGGCTGTCAGCTGTCATGTGGGTGCTGGGAGTTGAATCCAGGTCCTCTGGAAGAGCAGTCAGTGCTTTTAACCACTGAGCCACCTGTCTAGCCTGATCCACATTTTTCACTCTTTATGCCTTCTCCTCATTCAAATGGCAAGAGCTTCAGTGTTCACTACCCAGAGAAGAGATATCTCAACAGAAACTATTACTAAACAATATGAGGAGGGTGAAAGAGCTTCATAGAGTAGATGAAGGATTTGGTTGGAGAACAGATATATGCAAGGCAGACTTCCAGGCTGCCTGTATAGATATCCCTTCCCTGCCTTAGGAGGGAGAAGCTGAGGGTGATGGGGAGGGAAAGTGGAGCACAGCAATGATGAAGGGGAAAGAACAAAGGACACTTACTTGCCTGGGTAGCTGGCACCTAGGGAGCTAGCAAGACCCCGGATACAAAATAGCTGCACAGACAGCCTAGTTCAGCATTCCTGCATCTCACTTTCTCATAGAGTCCTCATGGAGTCGCCCATGCCCAAAGGTTACAGAAATTTCCATGTTCCTGATGTAGTTCAGACATGGCATTGCTGTGCCACATGGCAGGCTGGACAGCTGACTCAGTCCTCCTCATTTTAACTCATGTGGAAAGGAAGGTTACTTCCCTGCATCCAAGACGGTCATCTCTGTACACCTCTGTAGCTGCTGTGCTAACAGGGGCATGAATTGTGCTGGAGAGATGGTCCAATTGTTAAAAATGCATGCTATAATTCCAGAGGACCCACGTTCATTTCCCAGCACCTACACTGGATGGCTCACAGCTGCCTACAACTTCAAGTCCTGGAGCTCTGATTCATTCTTCTGGCCTCTGTGGGTATCTTACCTGCACATGGTACACACATACTTACACAGGTGCACACTCACTCACTCTCTCACACACACACACACATAAAAAGTCTTTTAGAAGGGCATGAGCAGGCACATGAGATGACCCCTTGGTGACCTTTTATATGACAGTCACTGTGGCCAGAGGGATCTTAGATACCTAAGATGACAGAGGACTCATAACACCAAGAACTGTCCCCTAACTATTATGAAAGCTTCACAGAATGTCAGCCAACCCCAAAGAATAGAAAAGAGATTAGGGACAAAACTGAGCTTAGGTTTTACTTATGTAGTTGCAAAAGGGATGAAGAAGAAATTAAATGTACCCATGGGGAAAATTATATTTCTTTCTTATCTGACCATTAGACTGAAATTTCTGTTTGTTAAACTACTTTTATTCAGAACCACTGGCAGATCTTTCTAGTGACCAGCAATTAGTGGTTCTTTTCATAAAGTTTGAACATCAGCATATTTTATTGAGATATCATACTTCTTTATATTATAGGAATTGTGTGTGTGTTATATGCACATAAACATGTGAGTGCATGTGACCCATGCCCAGGCACATGAAGAGGCCAGAGCAGGATGCTGGGTGACTCTTTTTTTCTCACGCTCCACCTCATTTTCCTGAGACATGATTTCTTGATGAACTAGAAGTTCACCATTTCAGCTAGGCTGGCTTTCCTAGTGATCTCTCAGAATCTACCTGTCTCTCCCCCAATGTTGAGACTATGGGTAAACATAGCTATGGCTAGGACTTTGCATAGGTGCTAGGGATTTGAACTCAGGTCCTCATGCTTGCAAAGCAAGTGCTCTTAGCCACTGAGCCATCTCCCCAGCACTGTTATAATTTTTGTCACTTTACTATCTGAAGTAACAAAGCTTCTGAGAGAAAAAAATCAGTATTTCATACTGAAGCAGATATAAAAGTTTAAAGGCTACTTTGCTTAGTCGAGTCATTTTTTAAAAATCATCTTACCATTTATTTTGCTTTGTGACTTTTCCATGGCTGAGATAGGTAACTGAGTGCTTGACTCTAGGTGACACGGAGAGATGCTAGGAGTAGAGTTCGAGGAAGGAAAATACCTCTCATACTTGTACCTGCACAGAAAGAATGCTTTCATTATACACTTACTGGCATCGTGCTAAAATGTAGGTATGCTTCTCTCGTCATCAGGGAATCGGGTTGGATTTGCAGTTTCCTTTGAATCAGAATCACCAAACCAAACCAGCATTGAGCAGTTTACCTCACAGACAGCCAGAAGATGTGCTTCATGGCCTCTCGTGCCTCTCTTGAGCCCATTCACGACACAGTGAAAGAAAATACAAGCAAGAATTATCCATACAGGTTCATTTTAGTAGGAGAAATGACTCTATATCACCTACTCCCTTAGTGAAAAAAGCATCTAACACTTGATGAAAATCAAGGATTTCTCCATGTCACAGGAAAATCAATAATGTGATAGCTTGTGGCCATTAGCACGTTAGAGCTATAAATTTAGCAGAACAATCACAAGGAAGATTCCAAATGATAAGATGCTTGGCTTCATGAAACATTTTCCCAGCGGGAATTCTTTTTTCTTTACAAGTTTTTAATCTGGATTCAGATTATTTCAAGTCCCCACATTCCTAAATTTCTACAGTTTATGTTGAGACTGAGTTGCCTTGGCTGACCACGAACTCACCATGGCCTACCCATCTAGCCTTGCTCTTGATCTCCTGTGATCCTCCTGCCTCAGCAGCTGGAGTGGCTAGGATTACATGTCTGTGCCATCAGGTCCACTTAATGTGAACACACCTTTTATTCTCAGTGCTAGGGATTGAACCTAGAGCCTCCTGCCGGCAGGCAAGTGCTTAACTGCTGAGCCACAGCCCCAAGTTCAAACGTTCTCCAGTTTCAGGCTTTACTTTTTAATGGCATTCCAATTCTGCTTAGTGCAATCTTTACTCCAGCATATGAAATTCTATGGTACCTTCGAATTTTCCTTTATTCCAAGCCTGTTTTATCAGAGTTAGTTTTCTACATAGTAGCGGTGAAACTTGGAAAACTAACCCGCTGTGCTAGGGAGACAGTTCAGACGGTAAAGTACCTTCTGCACAAGCAGACCCGAGTTCAGATCCGTAGCACTCAAGTGAAAGCAGGGTGCGATAGTGTGCATCTGTCACCCCAACACTGGGGCGGCAGCCACAACGCATCCCTGGAGCTCCTTGGCCACTAACCTATCACAACAGATGAACTCCAGGTTCTGAAAAAGACTCTTAAAAAATAAGGTGGCGAGTAGTGGAGGAGGACACCTGATATCAGCTTTCAGCCTCCATGTGGCCCTGCGCTCAGACATGTCAACACCCACATGAACACATACATACAACCCTTTCCCATACAAAAACATGCACAAACTCCCCAAAAGTTGGATCTCCCCCTTCCCTTGCTCCCCACTCCCCAAGTGTCTTCCTCTCAGGGAATTTAAAGTCCTGACAATTGTTCTGAACCTTATACCTCAAGCAGAGGCAGGGCAGCTCAGCCCTCAGCCTGGAGCTAATAAGTCGGTCTACGTTTTACTGAGAAACTCTAAGGCCCAGCAGAGTTTGAGACACAAGCTCCACACATCCCCCACCCCACTCACTCCTCAGTGTTCATCTTTTCTGCTTCCCTTTGTCCACATCAAAACCTTTTCTCAGTCATCTAATACCAGACCCCCTCCACTTCGAGAAGGCTGTGTTCTTGATTTGTTTAGACTGGAAGTCTCCCTGATTCTCAGGTACCTGCATGGCTTCTTCAGATGTGAGCTGTTCCTAGAATACCCTACCCCTTAAGTGCCTTCATTAGGATGGATGAAGATAGATATAGATAGATAGATAGATCTTAACATGAATATATATATATACACACATATATTGTTCTAGCTAGCTTTTTTGGTTGCTGTGATAAATACCATGATCAAAAGAAATTATGGAGAAGAAAAGATTTGCTTACACTTCTGGGTCACAACCCATCATTGATTGAGGGCAGTCAGGGCAGGAGCCATAAGGATGGCTGCTTACTGGTTCGCTTTCTGCCTCATTCTCGGCTAGCTTTCTTCTACAGTCCAGGGCCACCTATCTATGCTGGGCCCTCCCACATCAATCATCAATCAAGACAATCTCTCATAGATATGGCCACAGACCAATCTGATCTGGGAAATCCTTCAGCCGAGGTTCCCTCTTCCCACATAACTTTACATTGTGTCAAGCTGACAATATAAACTAACCAACTCAGCTTGCACAGCAAGTACTCAGAGATCTCTCAGGCACCATTCCTTTGGGCTCTACCACTGTTCAGTACACTATGGTGCTCTGTATTTATTTTTCCCTCTCCTAAGATCCTTGAGTGCAGGGAGTTCTTACCACTCTTTTATCCCCAATGTCTGAAACAATGATCAGTATAGATTGGTACAGAACTATACTGTGTCAATACCAGTATGGATGAGGTAGATGACACAACAGATCAAAAGCTAGACTCGCCCAGCTTGGGGGAGGCCCTTCAAAATTATCATCTATGACTAAAAAGCTTTGTTGAGCACCAAAGGCATTTCTTCTAGGAACACAGAACATAACATCCTTTTAGGGGAAAATGTTATGTTGACAGTAAGACCATGACTAGTAAAGTATGCTGTGAGAAGTTGAAAAGAATTTGTACTAATCTTTAGTAGGTAGCCAGCTTTGTGTAGGGAGGTGCTCTGTGTGTTTTCATTTTGATTTCTTTTCTCATGGAGACAGCCCCATTCTCTGACATAGTATGTGGCAAGTGGCAGACACTAAATCATGAACAAATGAATATATCATCTAAGTGTTTTGCTTGCATGTAAGTAAGTGCACCGTGTGTCTTCAACGCCTGCAGAGGCTAGAAGGTGTCGAATCCCTTGGAACTGGAGTTATGGACTATTCATTGCCACATGTAGTTCCTGGTATTCAAACCTGGGTCTTTTAGAAGAGCAACCAGTGCTCTTAACATATGAGTGATTCTCCAGCCTGTGAATACATCATTTCATTGAACTAAGGTGGTGAACACGGATCTAAATCCGTTTCCCTTGGTATCTTTTGTCGGCATTTGCCTAGGAGACTTTCCCACCTCTAAGATACACTCCTGAATTTCATGTGCTGATATTCTACATTTATCATTGACATGAAGTAATAAGATGGGTCAATTGACTACAACACCTTTACGACAAAACCATTGCTGATCACTTTGGAACCCCAGCATAACAACAGGCAATTGCAGTAACACAACTACCATGTATGTCAGAAATCTTGAACATTTTATCTGTATTTTACACATTTAAAATTGGCACAATATTATAAGCTAGATATTTTTAATATCCATTTTAAGATGCAGAAACTGAAGACTAGAAATGCTAAATAACAGGATCAAATGTTTGTTACTTACCTCGTTCTTTCATGACCAATTTGACACCCATGTGCATTTACTACACAGTATGATCATTTGTTTTTATATTAATATTTTGCCTTTATAGCTGACTGAAAGTGTTTGACTGAATATGTTAGTAAAAATCCTCTTCAGTATTGTTAACATTAATGCAGAGAAACATAACAGATTTTATAGATTATTGTCACTGGTAAGAATATAAAAATGTTCTACAATTTTCCCCAAAGGGGCTATAATAATAGGATGTAAGGTTCTCATGGCATAAGCATCAACTTAAATAATAAATTGTCATTATGAAAAGAGCGAGGCATGGCAATTAAGATCTATAATTCCAGCACTCAGGAGGCCGAGGTTGAAGATTGTTGAGTTCAAGGCCGTTATGGGCTAGCCAGTGAGTTAAGTATCCTCCCAGCCAGAGCTACATAGCAAGAGCCCGTCTTATAAAAACAAAACAAAAGCAGAGTCAGAAAAAGGGGGAGAATTGCTAGTGTGGAGTAAACCTACAAAAGATGGCTGCTTCAGACTTACTTTTCCATGAAGAACTGGGGCACTGCGATGAGCAGGGTTCCGACTCCCATCACAAGGCTTCCTGCTCCTATTATTTTTGGTCTGTGAAGTTTGGCTCCAAAGTAGCTGACAAATGTTATAACCAGGAGATTCCCTTTGAGGGGGAAGAATCAATCGTTCATGATTGGGTTAGAGAACTTAGTTGATTAGCAGTATTGCTACATGAATGAATTTATACAGACTTAGCAGCTTTTCCATGAAACTATGTCCCCAACCTTCGTCATCAGGTCCCTTTCTTCATTGTGAGCTAAGCTGATTTTTTTTTTTTTTTTTCGGTCTTTTTGAGACAGGGCTCCCAGCTGTCCTGGAACTCACTATGTAGACCAGGCTGGCCTTGAACTCACAGAGATCCGCCTGCCTCTGCCTCCCTCCCGAGTGCTGGGATTAAAGGCGTGCGCCACCACGCCTGGCATTAAGCTGACTTTTAAAAATATCTTCAGATTTATTACTTGCTCTAATTAGCTTTATGTTGCTGTGATAAAACACTGACTTCAATTTGTGGAAGAAAGGGTTTATTTGGCTTATAGGTCACAATCCATAACTGAAGGAAACCAGGGCAGGAGCTCGAGGCAGGAACTGAAGCAGAGACCATGGAGGAGCGCAGCTGACTGGCTTGCTCATCTCCCTTTGGTATACAGCCAAGTCCACCTGCCTAAGGATGGCGCCACCCACAGTGGAGTGTTCACATCAGTGAGCAATCAAGAAAATGCCCCATAGGCATGTCCACTGGGGAATCTGAGGGAGCAGTTCCCCAACTGAGGGTCCTCTTCCCAGGTGCATCAAGTTGACAATCAAGATCAGCCACCTTTCACTTTCACCCACTCATCTTTTCTGTCAAACTCTTTAAATTACTTCCCCCTCTATTATGTTTTACTCAACCTGATCAGTTGTTCTTTTAAAATATTTTATCAGTAAATGAAATTATAGAAGCCATTCTTACTTGATCTCTTAACTATTCCTTAGAGGTTTTGAAGCAAATTTTATTAGTTTTGCTTACGCTTGCATTGAAACTTCTATTCGTTTGCCCATTGTTCTTGAAAGATATGTTATATACCCTCTCTACAGCTGATAATTCCCTAAAGAAAAACACAACTCTTCCTCACTTTAAATGAGATAAAATATTAAACTCATATTTATACAAATGATACTTTATAATTGTTTATATACTTTTATACAAAAGGACTCAAAATAAGAAATAAAAATTATTCATTATAGTTGCCCACACATCATATGTAAAACTCAGTGTGCACATTTTATGGAGTACAAAATTTCCACAAAATAGGTATTTAAAAATAATTAAACAACTTAGGTTTTAAAAGTGGTAATTACATAATTCTAAACTGTCTTTAATGAAACATCATGAATTTTGTATGTTTTTGTGTGTGAGGTGCATGTGATGCAAAGGCAGAGGTCAAGTGTGGGTGTCACTCCTCAGACATCATCCTCCTTGTTTTATGAGACAAGGTCTCTCATTGGCCTGGGGCTCCCTGTTTAGGCTAGACTGGCCAGCAAGCCCCAGGGTGTCACCCTTTTCCAAGGGTAACAAGTGTGCAACACCATTCTCAACTGTTTCTAATGTGGTTTCTGGGGATCAAACGCAAGTCCTCACGTTTACATGGCAAATACTTGACCAACGGAGCCATCTCCCATGCCCTATGTTTAAACATGATTTAAGAGAAGATTTCCCAGGCTTTATTATATAGAATTCCTAGGATGTGGCGCAAAGGGAGAGAGAAAGCTATTAAAATGCTAATTCTTGCTATGTCCAGACAGTTTCTGATTCCCTGGAACAGAGTCCAGGCAGGAAATCCTGTGTCTGCAACATAAATGGGTTCAAGTAGAGTTGGTGAGGAAGGGATAATTCTAGAACCCTGTCATGGGGAACATTGCTAGGTCTTACATTTTAAGGAACTTTAAAGTTTTAACTATGATCATTTGGGATGTCTGGATTATAGGAACTACAGGGCTAGATTAAGAAACTGACACTCCCCCAGCAACCAACTGTGGCGGCTAATGGGTGGCCTCACTTTGAAGCTGTCCTCGATGTTTCCAATTTTCCAGCAAGAGCGTGTTTCCTTCCATCTGTAAGCAATCATCCAATTTACTACTGTTCGGTCACACTGCCAGCTTTAGTCAATTGGAAAATGAGCCGTAAACGTTATAGCCCGGAGGATAATAATAAGGATGCAAGAAAAGCCGCTTCGACACTTGGTACATGTGCTGCAGTTACAGGAAGAATTTAGGTCTTCATACTTCTCGTATTAAAAAAAATGAAACTTGAGACATTTGACATTTAATGTATAAGACATCACACTGATAATTATGTCTTTTTGTTTGTTAAACTGACTTGCAGTTTATAGGCAGATCATTTTGTAGCCCCACATACCTTCCACCAACATTTCAAAATAAGGGACTTTGTTACATTAAGGAATAGTGCCAAATATGATGCCATCTGTGGTTTCTCCAAAAAGTTAGGCTTCTGAGCTGGAGAGATGGCTCAGTGGTTGGGAGTGCTAGCTGCTTTTGTGAAGGACCTGGGTTCAGTTCCTAGTGCCCACATGGCAGCTCACATCCATCCCTAGCTCCAGTTCCAGGGCATCTGATGCCCTCTCTGGCCTCTGTGGGTATTACACACGGGTGTATTTACACACATACAACACATAAAATGAAATTTTTAAGTCATAAAAAATAAAAATAATGAAAAATAAAAAGTTTAAGGTTCCTTTTATTGTTATAGAATCCTTTCTGAACTCTCAGGAGATAGGTTTGGAAAATATATGGTGATTCATACTGTGTCAAAACTTCAATTGGAACAGCTATGATGAGTTCTCAGTGGGTAAAGTATTTGCTGAGCTACACATGAGGACTTGAGTTCAGATCTCCAGCACCCACATAAAAGCGGGGTATAAAGGCTCATGTCTGTAACTTTAGCATGGGGATCCAGGCGGAAAGTCTTTGGAGACTGGCAGATTCTAGCGGGGCTTACTGGTCAGTCAGCCTAGCTGCCATCCTGAGTCCCAGGTTCAGTGAGAGACCCTGTCTCAGAAGATAAAGTGGAGATCAATAAAGGAAGATATTGGAAGTCAATTCCACATGCACACACACATCCCTTCCCTTCCTTTCTTCCTTCCTTCCTTCCTTCCTTCCTTCCTTCCTTCCTCCCTCCCTCCCTCCCTCCCTCCCTCCCCCCCCCTCTCTGACCTTGGTATCAAAATTCTTTCATACCTACCAGAACCTGTTGATAAAAATAGGTCCAGAGAGCTTAATAACCTGAACAGATTCTTGTTTTTTCTTTTCTTGCAAACACATTCAAAATGTCAAATTTTAGAAGGGGGCTGGAGAGATGGCTCAGCTTTTAACAGCAGTTAAAAGTCCTCTTGTAGAGGACTTGGGTTGGGTTCCCAGCACCCACATGAGGCCTCACATCTGTCCATAACTTCAGTTCCAGGGGATACAACACCCTCTTATGATCTCTGCAGGCACCGCATGACATGGGTGCACTTACATACGTGTAGGCAATATACTCATGCACATATAATAAAATAGTAAAAATAAAATGTTAAAAAAACCCACAATGTCAAATCTTAGGAAAGAAAGCTAGTTACTCAAATTACCTTATAAAAGTCCCCAAACCAAAACCGAACAAGAACAGTACAAGAAACAGTAATTTGAGAACTGGAGAGATGACTCAGAGATTAAGAGCACTGACTGCTCTTGCAGAAGACTGGGACTTGGCTCTCAGACACATGAGGCCTTATGTGTCTATAACTCCAGTTCCAGAGGATCTGTCACTCTCTTCTGACCCCCACAGGCACTGCACATATGGGCACAGGCAAAACATTCATACATATAAAGTAAAAATAATTTTAAAAAATCTTATAAAGAAATAGCAGTTTGAGCCCAAGCATAATCATGAATACAGAGGTAAAATCCTGACTACAAATATTAGCAGACTGAATAGTCCATCAAAATAAATACAGCCTTTCGAGTCAGCTAATTCCAGGAGTATGGGAAAGTCAGTAAAAAAGAAGAAAAATCTGAATTAGATCATTGTACAACTGAAGGAAGGACTGTCACTTATATAAGGTAAGACATGCAGTGAAAGTCCTCAGAGCCAGAGCGGTTAATCCCTAATTTGTAAGAACTGAGTGATTCAACTTTTAAACCATGCTTATTAAAAACCACTCAGCACAAACGAATAAACTCAAAACCATGTGGCAGGTCTATTGCTGAACAGTGAAATTATAGAAGTGCTATTTTAAGTCAGATATAAGAAGAGGGTGTCTGTTCAGTCAATCAATTCAACACAGCCGCAAGGCCAACAATGAGTCCAGAGTCCTGGGAGGAGGGAACTTGCCTCCACCAACCCTGATGACCTGAGTTCCATCCCCAGGACCCACATGGTGGAAGGAGGGAACTGACAAGTTTATCCTTTGACTGCCACAGGTGCACTGTAGCACGTGACCCTGCCCCACAATAAAAACGTAATACAAAATTTAAATAATAAATGCAGGCTGGGGTCCTGCCCTTAAAGAATCAGCAACAGCATTTTAACATTTCTCAGTTGCCAGTGTGAATATGGATGTTTGATTGGCACTGATTTAGAACTTCGTGAACAAAATTTCTAGGAAAGAGGCTGCATCTACAAAGCCTGATCTACTCTACAACTCCAATGCCTTCAGAGGTTGGAATGTTGCACCTTCAGAGTCAAACGATCTTGGGCCACCTTTAGCATGCATCAGTGTCCTGTGTGTGTGTCCTAATAGCTTTGTCACCACTAGATAATTCCTTTGGAATGCATGAACAGACCTCTAGCTTTCACCAACTCAAAAGCTAAGCATGAGACGTATAGTTGAGGTCTCTCCACTTTGCTGTAACCCACCAACATAATCCGAGAGCGTCTTGATTTATGATTCTCTCGGCTTCGTTACTATAAGAACTTCATGAAATGTTTACCACAGTGGAACCTAGAAGTTGGGGCGGCTAAATACTGGGCCATGAGCTCTCATATTGACTCCAGAATAAACTGTCTTTTCTCTCCTTTAAGATGAGAACTGTGTTTCCTGCCAATACCCAAAAACAAAAGTTTGCTTATTCACTGGTCTCATTGAAATAAAAGTTACAAAGATGAAAAATTTGTTCGTTTCTCCCTACTTCTGGAAGTTCTCCAGTGTGCCTGCATTGAATAGTTAAGAGGTCATACTGCCATTTTATGAGCCCCCAAATGGCCTTAAGGACTATCCAGGGAAGAATTTTGTTTATTTTGAAAAATAATGTCTCTCACTTTATCAATTTAGGAAGGACACTAACTAGGCATACACTTCAAAATACTTTCAAAACAGTGATTAAAAGCACTTGGTCCTTTCCAAGGGGAAATCTAACCAATTGCTACAGCAGAGCTTTCTGAGAGTAGGATTTTTACTGTCTGGTGTTCTTGATCATAGAATCCTTTCTCTCTTCTTCATAGGCTACTGTGTAGAAAACTACTTTTATAGTTTACTTCTTAAATATTTGCAACTGAGTCTAGAGAAATGGCTCATTGGTTAAGAGCCCTGGTTGCTCTTACAGAGGACTTGGATTTGGTTCCCAGCATGCACATGGTGGCTAACAACTTTCTGTAACTCCAACACCCTCTTCTGATCTCTTTGGTCACTGCAGATACAGGTATACTTACATACCTGCAGGTGAAACACTCATCCACATGTAATAGAAGTAAATAAATAAATAAATAATTAAATATTTGCAATAGCTTTTTAAAATTATTCATCTATTTGTGTTTTATTTGTATGTGTGATGCCTGCCTGTATAAATAAATAAATAAAAATTAAATGTTTGCAATAGCTTTTTAAATTTTTTATTTATTTTTATTTTATGTATATGTGTGATGCCTGCATGTATTTAAGTACACCCATGTGTGCAATGCCCTTAGAGCCAGAAGATGATGGGTCCCCTGGAACTGGAGTTATAGACAGTTGTTAGCCACCATATGGATGCTGGGAACTGAACTTGGGTCCTCTGGAAGAGCAGCCAGTGCTCTTAACCACTGAGCCATTTCTCCAGCCACTGTAATAGGTTTTTGTAGCACCCATTTGAATTTTTCCATATTTCTGAAATTGCATCCTATGACTCTCAAGATCTGTCATTCCTTAATAAAGACATGTCCCACATACTTATAACTCAAAATACCAATTAGTACTTCACCTTCCCCTATAGGAAAGTCTTTTACTCTGATGAGCAACTCATGATTGTCTGAGTCATACAACAGGGAATATGGGGGTGGGGGGCACACAGGAAGTTTGTTATTGGCTACTTGGTCTCTGTGAAAATAAATCACCTCTACCGTAACATAAGGTCATGGCAAATGTGTCCAAAAGGATTTTACAAGTTGGATCCCAGCAGACAACAGGAGTAGAGAGGATGTGTTAAACAGGCTTAAGACCTTGGGGAAGCTGGGCATGGTGGTGCTCGCCTTTAATCCCCCAGCCCTCTGGAGGCAGAGGCAGGTGGATCCCTGTGAGGTTAAGGCCAGCCTGGTCTCCACAGCAATTTCCAGGCCAATGAGGGTTACGAAAAGGAAGTCTGACTTTGCAATACCTACCGATTTCAAAACTACCGTCAATCACTCCCACCAGGGAAGAAGGGATGTCGAACCTTCTCTCTATCTGTGTGATGGTGCTCTTCAGATAGCCTTCTGCCAGCGCCTTGGCAAAGTAAAGGGAAGACAAGGCACCCAGGAAAGCCTGGAAAATATGACATTTGCACTTAGTCTGACCAGCTTGGCATGCCTTGGACAATTACTAAGTCAACAGAACTCAAAGGCGCAGCAGTGTTTCGCATGCACTCAAACATTGCTACAGTTTCAATCGGCCTCAAGCTCATGTACAGGGCCCACGATTCTACATTCGCTTAGAATTGAAAATGCATGCTGAGTTTCATGCAAAACGCATGTGGAATCTCACCACCCCCCAAACCACTTCCACACTGTGCTCAAAGACTTTTAAAGGAATCTAGCCTTGAGAAGACCTATGTATGGTGAGACCAAAAGAGGAGAGAGCCACATTTAGGAACTAAGATAAAACTGTAACCCACAACCTGCCCGCTTATCACAAGTCTAAATGATCAATTATGCATTTTACTGTCTTTGTGGAGTCCCCTTGCGGGGAACATAGTTGATGGAAACATTTGAACAGGGTTTTAAGTCATAAAAATGCCTGTCCCTTTCTGAGTAATGAGGAAAGTCAAAGCTTTCTTTCACAAAATGGAAATAATATAGGTATGCCTGTGCTTAGTGTACATGGGGTACATTGTAGAGGGTTAGTAAATAGTTACTATATCTTTCCTCTGTTATTTAGGAAGGGCTTTCAAAGGAGCTCCAGAAATTCATTCAATTTATATGGCAGGTAAAAATGATTTCCATAGCTTACTTAGCAAGTATGGTCTCGGCACATTGTAAGATCATATTTTTGGAAGGAAAGCAATTTTCACTGCTAGCTTCAGTTTATCTGGAAGGAAAGCCAGGAGTGTCAACAACATCAAGTTGAATTCCCTTCGAGCCCACCTTTAGCTCTCCACAGCACGGTTGTGTTTTCTTTGAGGATGGATATTCCATTTTAAAGGAAGTTCTTCCAACAGGTCGAGCTGAATTTTTATGGAACAGCTGGACATTTTCTTTGGATGAGGTATCCATTATGAAAATGTTCCTTCTTCTGGCCTGTCAAAGTTGACTTTAAAAGAAAAAAACAATGTAATTCATATGTACCTAATTTAAGGATACTTCTATTTCACAGTAGACAATTCTGTGGGCATAATTTAAAGTGACGCTATCTCCTGTTACTACAGTAAGTTGGCCAAAGTTTTCAATTAAAATCAGACAGGATATCTGATTAGCTAATCCTGTCATCAGGGATCTGTAGCCAGCATTCTGTTTCAATCCTTTCACTTTGGGCCTCATTATAGCAAAGAATAAATTTAAATGTTGCCTTTGGAATAAATAATGAGGCAGAATTTTGCTAACTTTGTGGTCTTGCCAGATTAAACTGGGAGCAGGGAGGAAAAGAAGAGGAATTCAACTACTTGAATATTGATTCATTAGAATTAAGCCTTCCAAGTCTTCAATGAATAGAAAAAGTTGACACCCATCACAGATTCCCAAAGCACCTTGTAATTTCTGGGGCACCCAAAGTAAGGCTTAAAAATGCTACAGAAGTGAAGAGGTTCAATTTGCGTGTTGTTTTGGCTTAACAGAAAAGGAAGCTGAATAATAGTTCTCTCCAGCTTAAACAGAATTAAGGTGAAAGTTTGGTTTGCCTTAAAGAAAGAAAGACGGCTTCCTTTCCCGTATTTAATCGCCCAATCTCTCAGCTCTGTTTTTCCTGATCAAACTCTTTATAGCTTCGTACAGTCTGAACCGATTTCTCCGTAGTCACATTAATATTTACACATACTGTGTTCTACCTTTTAGCCTTCAACAGCACTGTGTCTATCTGATAAGCTAACGTATGTCAGGGGATTCAAAACGTTAGGAATCATAGATGTCCCTCATGATCACAAGATGACCCAGTTGCACATGAATAGAGATCTTCCAGGTCCTCCTACACTGGCTAAAGAAATGATATTGGGAGTACAATTTCATGCCAGTGGTAGACTTTAGTTTTGAGCTGCCTCTGTGTATGTGACCTGGGCCTCGTTAGGGTTTAACTTTTGTCATTTTTCTTCATTGACAGTATCTCAAACTAGAAAAGAAATTAACGACAGTATGATTCATTTTGAAATAAGAAACTAACACAGAAATACATAATCTAGAAGCTGAGTTGATTACTTGACTCTTCCTTTTATGGGAAATAAGTGGAATTTTAAAGAGTGGGGGAGGGGGCTTGGTTTTAAAAATTTATGACAGATTATTTGATTTCATAAACATCCCTAATTTTATTTTTTAATGGGAAAATGAAGCAAGTGAAATGAAAAATATTACAGCCAAGAAATCAGAGTCGATAATATTAGTCAAGTTCAAACAATAAATAGGCTATAATATTAATATAAAAATAAAGGTATTTATTAAATAAGACAAACTCATGCATAAAATATAAAGATGGCAATAAAATCTAGACCAAACGGATAACTTTCCAGTAACTATTACCTGCGTTGACACAATTCAGACGAGAACAAAGGAAATAAAAGTAACATTCTCTAAAAGCATCCCCCAAGAGAAGATGCCCAGGACAGGTGAAGGAAGAGGACTGCTTTATCAAGGGGTCGCTTCTAAGGAAAGCAAGTGCGAAATGATGCTGGAGGATCATTTACTGTATTTGTACAACCAGCATGACCTTCATGACGGCGCGTCATGACGACAGCACAAAAAGAAAAACTTCACTGCAGACTATGAACTCCTAAATAAGGTGCTAGCAAATCCAAGGGAATTGCCTGACACTTTGGAATTAGTATTATTTTTAAAAATATTAATACTGGTAGGTGAGAACATTATACATTCATTTCTGATTACAGATGTGTAATATAAACATACATATATACAAACCCAAGCAACAACAGCAAAAACAAAACCCAACTTCTAAGAAACATCCGTTAGCAATTTCTGATGCCAACTCTACATGTCTACTAAATTACTAAGACTGCTATTCCAAAATATTTTGCAAGAGCAATAAAACAAGCTGTTTGTGAAATGCTGGGTTATGAAAGGTTAAGTAGGTTACTTTGCTACAAAATTACTGCATACCTGAAATTGAACTTCTAGAAAGGCTCAGTGTTTATGATGGAAAACATCAAAACAGCCAAATCATCTAAATGGCCAAAACAATATCGTAACTTCTCAAAATGAAATCTTAGAAGCCAGTGGAAATTACTGTGAAAAAGTAGATACAGTTATACAAACCTAAATTCAACACATAATTGGTTTTAAAAACACATTCAACTAAAAGTACTTATGACAGGAAATGCAACATTTCTAAAATGCACAAAATTCCAACAATTTCAATAAAAATACATTTTTCTAGTTAGTGGCATATGCAGATAATTTTTAAAAATATTGCCCAGGCATATTTTCTAATTTTCTACAATAGGCATGCATTTCTTATGTGAAAAACCATTTTCATATTAAAAGCACAAACATCACAATGTAAAAATATACAAATCAGAAAAATTTTAAATATAAAAGGAATGACCCATTAAATTTGTGATTTAAAATGTAATCCTATTGCTAAATTAGATAATTAAAATTGGCTAATTGTTTTAGGGGTTAACGACATTATCATTTCCCATTAGTTATGATTTTAAAGCTATTAATGAGGAATAGTAAATAGTCACTAAGACTGTCTTTGAATGATCAAATGGATTAACTATAAAATACTCATGCCAGAAAGTAAAACATGCTAGAAATAATATTTTTAAAAAATTTAGGACATCTTAGCACATTGAGTCTTCTTATATTTGGAGGCATTGAGACAAGAATTGTTTTAACTGGAATCTAGTGGTGATAACAAGAAAAAAATTACATTTGTGTGGGTTCATGTTGTGTTGGGGCAAAGTGCCACTGGACTTGAAATATTGACAAGACATAGGTTTGCTGAAAACCAAACTTCATCCTGATGGCTAATATGCAAATTAGTGGTAGTAGCAGGCTCCAAGGAGGTCATAGCTTTGAAAAGAGGGGTACAGAAGTGCAATGATGTGAATGGAAAGATCCTTGGGGTCAAAGCCCCCTCTCTTCACCTGTTTGTATAAGCAGGGCTAGAGCTCAGCTTGAAAGGATCTACAGTCAGCACATCCCTCCTTCATCTCTGGCCACTTGAGAAGATTTTTCCAGAAAAAGGCAGTAAAGTTTTCATCCAACACCCAAGTTAGGGTAGGACTTATTCCAGAGCCTAAAGCCAAGAGGATAGTTTTTTTTTTTTTTTAAAGTTGACTTCTCTGTTCACATGGGTTTGAGAATCTAGTCTTTGAGTGCAGGTTGTTAAAGAAGATCAACAAGCTCTGGACCAGTGACTGAGTTGCAGCCAAACTCCAGCAGCTATCACAGACATGGTCAGAGAGGTAACACTCCCAATTCTCTGTTCCAGCCACCTTCTCCAGGAGCAAAACCTCTGCACCAGCCAGGTGTTTGGACTGGGAATTCCTTTGTTCAAGGGAACTTTAAAAACAACCTGTGATCTTTGCTGAGAAGTATGTTTGTTACATAGAAAGCTGAACTCTCGGTCCCTACCAGCCAATAACTTCAATATCAAATTCAGGTTTCTACCACTCCTATAGAAAGGCAGTGTATGCATATTTTGTAATCTTTAAAACAACCCAATAACTTCAACTCATCATCTCCAATTATAAAATGGTTCGGCTAGGAGCAGTTAAGCACCGTGTGTCAGAAGCTACCAAAACTTATGCACCAAAGTCAGGATTTGAACCCAGATTTGAGTTTATCTGACTTCTCTAACCAGTCTCCTCTCTGATTTCACCCAGCTCACAACTCATCAAGTGTCTTTGAACTGTCATAGATAAAAGAAAGTCCTGCGGAAATCAGTGATCATTATCAATTTTTCTCCTGGAACAGCAAGGTATAATGCTCATGCAGCTATAAAAAAAACAACAAACAAAAAACCCAAAAACAAAACAACCAAGTCTTACCTGGAGGTGGAGATCAAGGCTGGCCAGTTCCTCTTGGTGTGCTCAGGAAGACACCAAAAGGGGAAACTGAGGCAAATTCTACAGCACTTCTGAGCAGTTCTGGCAGGTCACAGACAGAGCAGGGTGGAAGAAAAAAAGACGAAGGGTCTGGTCTCACCCCAGGGCAATCTCTCTCTCTTTTGCCTTTCCAGTTGGCCTCTTTTTTTTTCTGGCAGTCTGCTGGGAATTGGCCACCCTGGCAAGGCCACTGACGTGCATCTCAGCTCCCAGGGCACGGAAAGAGCTGAAGCCTTTGAGCCATGTCTTTGCAATTTGCAGCAAGTTTAAGTTCACACGTGATAAAGCTTTCTTTATGGGAGAGAAGGAGAGGAAAAAATGAAAAGACCACTTGTGATTTTACTTGCTGATTCCAAGAAAACACAACTCCACAGGGGGTAGAGGGTGAGGAAACAGAAGCCAGGGCAGGGAAGGAAGTTTGTAACAAAGATCCCTCCTTCTCCTTCCAAGAGGATTTTAAGCCAGCTTTTCCTTAGGGACATCGCTGGACCATCCTTGTGTTGTGTTGTGTTTGTTTGTTGTTTATTTTTAAAAGATTCTTGGGCTAAATAGCTGCACAGTTTTCTTTCCCATGGGGCCTCTAGAGTTTGCAGGATTGTTTTCAGGTCAGAATCAAAGCTTTTCAGGGTCCCTCCAGAGCGAGTTTGTTCACAAACAGAAGAATCGGTAGTTTGCATCCACAATATCTATGAGTCTTAAAAATTGACAAAATAATCATTGAATTTTTGGCATTCTTAATTCTAAGTAAAGAGAACTCCTAAATTTTATAATTCTAACACATTCTTTTCCTAAGAGAATAATTTCAGAAGATTTTGAGTGGTATTAACTTACATTTTATTCCTATCAATAAGTGAATCCGTCATCAGGACTGTCCAAGACACAACCTGCTGTTCAAGTGCTGGGACTCTGAGCATGTCACTTAATTTTACTGAATCTCCACTTCCTCCTCTGTGAAGTAAAATATTTGTTCTTAAAGATAGGAAGATTTCCAGGTGCATTTCAAGGATTAAACTGTATGTGTATGTGCATGCGCATGTGCTCATGTGAGTTTATGTGCACCGTGTGCATGCAGATGCCCTCAGAGACCAGAAGAATACAATGGATTAACTGGAAGTTACAGAAGGTTGTGAGCTGCCATGTGGGTGCTGGGAATTGAACCAGCGTCCTCTGCAAGAGCAGCCAGTGCCCTTAACACTGAGCTCTCTCTTCAGCCCCAATCCCAGCTTCTTAAACTGTGGGTTTGTGATCCCAATCGAATGTGGGGATTCACAAAAATGTAGCAACAGTAAAAGACATCTGAATGAGTGATGGTCAAATGATAATTCAAAATCAACTGGGTACTGAATTTGAGATGTCCCTGGTAGTGCTGACCTGTGTTACCCCTCCTGGCTTGACTGCAGCCTGGGTTCTAACACTCAAATGGGCACTTGGCACCGTGCATGCCTGTGCACCACACGACGCCAGCAAATACTGCCTGAAACACCTCAGTTCATAGACTGCTGTGTGCTATGAACTGCAGTGTTTGCACTCTAGGATAGCTTTTCTCTCTTACACAATCATGACAGTTTGATTAAAGAAAAACTTTTTAAAAAATATTTTCCTGCTGTTCTTCACCTTCGAGTATCAAATTAGCATATATTATTATGTTAGATGTTTGATTTTAGAAATTAGTGTTTGAGTGGCTCACTTGAATTTCATTTTTAAAAAATTCTTTAACTTTGGCTTGGGATTAGGACAGAATTTCCAAAATTTCTTAAATAGCCCTGAACATACTTCTGCTGTTTTGTACTATGCAATTTTTAAATATTTTATTTATTATTTTTATTTATGTATATGAGTGTATTGCCTGCATGTAGGTAAGTGCACCCATGTTGTGCAATGCCTGCAGAGGACAGAAGAGGCTGTTAGATCCCCTGGAACTGGAGTTACGGACAGTTGTTAGCTGCCATGTAGGTGCTGGGATTGGAACCCGGGTCTTCTGCAAGAACAGCCAGTGTTCTTAATCACTGAGCCATCTCTCCAGCCCTGTGTACTATGCATTTTTACAAAGGAGTATTCTTAGTTAGCATTGATGCTTATAAAAACAAAATGTCAATCAATCCCCCCAAACAATGGACAATTCTCTGTACCTTGCAGTATCAAATACCTAGCAAGGTTTAATATGTCATATGAAAACCAGCAAGCACATCCATCTCATTAGTATGTAAAGTTTCTTTCATTTGTTACATTTGGTAAAGCTATAAGTATATCAAAGAATTACTATTATTACTATTATTCTGTTGTTATTTTATGTGCATGAGCATTTTGCCTGCATGTAAGTGCGCGACATGCACCCAGCACTCACAGAAGAAGGTGAAGGATCCCCTGAACTGGAGTTCCGGCTAGTTGTGGGGCACCGTATGGGTGCTGGGAACAGAATCCAGGTCAAGAATAGCCAATGTGCTTAACTCCTGAGCCATCTTTTCAAGGAATTACTTTATTTAAAAATATTTTTTCCAAAGAATTACTTTAACTTCTTTTCATTTTTGCTTT